ATAACCGGTATTCCAACTCGCCGACCAAAATGTTTTGGGTCCTTTTAAATCCTGAATTAGTTATAAGTCCTGAGATCCAAGCCACTCTTCAAGTGCTTCACTAGCTTCATTCGTTGTATCGTATCCCCACAGTGTGTTGTGACTATTGAAATCACCTAAGATCAGTGATGGTTTAGAAATCTTTGGAAGGGACCCGTACGCCCAGCTTGTATTGGGTGGTTTGTATATGTTGTAAATATTTAAGTCTCCGACCTTTACTCCTATGGTCGATGTGTTATTTATATTTAACGGTGGGATGATGGTGAAGGAAGGAATGTCCTCGTTTATATAACTTGCTGTTCCGTACTTGGGGTGGTCGTCATGACATCCTAGTTGAAATCCTTATATTTTAAATCTGTTAGGAAGGGCTCTCTCTGGAATATGTGTCTCCTGAAGGCAGAGTATATCGGCTTTGTATTCTTTGGAATTTTTTCTAGGTAGGTGCGTTTGGCCATGGATCAATGGCGTATTTAGGATTCTGTTGCCCTGGGTACACATTTTTTTTGTGCCCTTTCTCTTTCGGGTTTTTATACTGGCAATTTTCATACCAATAAAATAAGAACTTAAAGCTTAAAGAACTAAAATTTGTTTCAAATTTTTCTTTCTCAACTTTATTAACAGAAATATTTAATTTAGACAGTTCAGCACTAGGACTACAGTTTACAATTTCTGATATGTCATCACTATTTTCATCAACAAAGGATTTTTGATCAATACCTAGTTTTAAATAAATCAAAATATAAATACCTAGTATGAAATGAAAATGAAAAATAATTTATATAAGTTTAATAAATATTAGTACTTGATGTGTTTTGTACACTGTTAACTACTAAATCATTAATATTAAAATAAGCATCGAGTTTGGCAACTTTTGACAAAACATTTGCATTTTTAATTGCTTTAATTTTTGCCCTTTTACGATTCTCTGCACCACTGAGTTGTTTTTTGCAATTTTTAGCCATCTAAATATCATCAATCATTAAGCTAAATTAAAAGCAATAAGCATTAAGCATGATATACCCATTAAAAAGTTAAAGCAGTGTTTGATATTATGCATAATTTACTATTTTCTACGAATAAAAATTATACCTTAGGTACTATAATTTTAATAATAATAATAATTATATAAAAGGCATTAAAAGGACTGATTAAAATAGTTCAAGCTAAGAGTTTCGCATAATTTAGATATGACACTGCTCAACACCATGCAATTTGACTAGATAATTACAAAGATATACTCGTACAGTCGTACTTACTCTGATAGTCAGATCTCAGAAAGGTATGATACTATGATGATTAGAAAATTCAATTTAATCGTTGTCAGAGCAAGAGACTAAAATGTAGTAACTTATACTTACACTATTTTACACAATGTAAAGATTTTAACACGCAGTTTAATAAAATTTTTAAATAATGTTACTCTCAAACAGAGAAAATATATAAAAAAAAAAGTTATAAATAAAAATTTGACAACACATGAGAGAAAGACGTAAAGATAATATAAAATGAACCGTCAAAGTTAGTTATTCGTTATCATAATATCAGTTATCCTTAATGATTCACACTGTCACTGCAATAATTAACACGTTAATAACATCATGATAGCGGTAGTACTGTATTTCGTTATTAAACAGTTGCTGACGACAAAAACAACTAACCAATACATGCGCCATGTGCGCTTATTCTGAAATTGACAAATTTATAAAATAGCTGTGTTGATATTAATAGAAAGTTAAGTTTTTTATTTGCCTAAAAAAAAACTTACCAACATTTTTATTTTATTTTTCTTATCGCTAAAATCATTCTAAATCTGTTTATATATAAAAAACTCCCAGTTAATTTGTTGCCTCCAAAAAAGTACTGCCCGGGGCAATTGCCCTCCTTGCCCCCCCCTAAATACGCCACTGCCATGGATAGGTCTTCGACATTTATCTGAAGGATACTGATATGTTCTGCATTTTCTAAGTTTTCCTGTTCGAGCTGTTCTTGGGGGACATTGTCGGTATAGCCCTGAAAAGGGCTGTTTCGGGTTAGTGCTTGTGCTATGCTTATAGTAGGCGTGCGATCACTATGCCGATGGTCGCCTGTCGTGTTGTTGGCTATTGATCGTGCTATAAACAAAGTAATAGTGCATGCAGGGGAGGCCTCGTGCAAATAACATAAAATCAAGTTGCTATAACTCAGCCAATTTTTAACTTAGAAAAGAAATTCAACTAGTAAAATTTATAAAAAAAATACAGAAAAAATAATTTGTAGTAAAAAATATGTCATGTCATTGAAAAAAAGTTTTTGTGCGCATGCGCGAAATTAATTGTGACAAAAATAATCTAATTATCTGAAAATGTGTATAATAATGTTTATTAGTAAGCCAAAAAAGCAGAATTGAAATATATGAAGCCTACAGAAAGTTATTGAGTGTTTCCACTTATCGTGATCACACTGTTTATAAAAAACTCGTGGCACAGTGTTTGTGACTATACTCCTCCGAAACGGCTTGACCGATTTTAATGAATTTTGTATTTACATTTGGTAGATCTGCGAATAGGTTAGTATCTATTTTTTAAATTCCTAAGTGCTATTGTTTAATACATCGTAGTTTAATTTAATAATTTTTGACCCGGTCGATAACTGCGCAATTGAAAATTAATTATTAAATGATATTATTAAAAAACTATTAAAAAACTATTAAAAACTATTTAAAAACGTAATTTTATTTTTGGTATTAAATGACGGGTATTGAATAAATATTAAACAAGATCCAGCAATAGGTGCCAAAACAAACAAGAATGTTAGTTCGAAGGATTATTATGCATATCGGTTGATAATTAGATGCGATCAGGACAACGTTATTCTACGTTGTCGTGAGTTTTGTCAACAATTCATGGTCGACATATACGTAAAGATAGAGAGCGGACGATTACGATACTTGCAATTCAATGAAAAAAAGCTGCGTGTGGAAATTCTCAAAACAATTGTTAGATATCGGATATGGGAGAGTTACTACAGATGAAACAGGATGCATACTATTACCGATCAATTTCTGCACAATCATTGATTCGCAAAATGCTCTCATTGACCAGATATTTCCCAATGTACACAGAAAAAACACAAATCATGAGTGGCTGGCAGAAAAAACAATTTTAACAGCAAAAAATATGGACATCAACGAATTGAATCTCAAGATACAAAATTTGTTATCAGGAAACTTAGTGTCATTCAAATTTATTCGTACAGTTTGCTATGTTACTGTAGCTATTAGGGTTACGTTAGTTAATTAGGTAAATTATCCAACAGAGTTTTTAAACTCCTTGGATTTACCAGGCATGTCACCGCATAATTTACAATTGAAGGTTGGATTTCCAGTAATTTTGCTTCGTAATTTGAACCTACACGGTTGTGCAACGGCACGCGATTAGTCATTAAAAAATTAATGAAAAATGTTATCGAAACCATAATTTTAAATGGCAAATTACGAGGTGAAAATATATTACTAGCATTTGCAATAACTATCAATAAGTCTCAAGACCAAAAGATGTCTGTCTGTGTCTTAGATTTGAGCACATCATGTTTTTCACATGGACAATTATATATGGCGTGCTCTCGAACCATCCAGTTTGTGTTGGCGAAAGATTGGATAACAAAACATATTGTATACTCTGTTGCATTAAGAGATTGATATTGTTTTTTACTAATATTATCATAATTAGTGATATATATAATTTTAAAGGATTAATTTTAATAAATTATTAAAAAAATTAATGTTTAATGTTTTTTCATTTTTATATTCCCTTCACAATACTCCATACCTCTTCCACTTATATACCATATTCTCACACACTTATATTAAATTAGTTATTTTTTTCCAGCAAAATATTCTCTAGAAATAATTTATAAGACAAAAAAATGTTTGTCGGGTCAGCTAGTTATTTATAAATTGTATAAAAAAAATTATAATTTTCCGAGTGCCAACTCAAATACTTAATGTATCAATATGCCAACTGACATATACATATTTTGCATTGAAATGGGACACCCCCTAGAACCCTCCTTCGGGACGGCCCTGGAAAACAATCGTTATTAAAAGAGATTCATTCTACTAATAAATATTATAATACACCATGAATATTAATAACCAATTAGTTTTGTAAGTTTAAATTATGCAAAGTAAAGTATATTCATATTTTATAAAGATGAATATGATATTTATTTAAGATTTTGTTTCTATTAGCTAGGTATTACCAAAAATAAAATACTAAAACAGGGTTGTTCTTTTTTTATTTTATTAAAAAAGTTTAAAAATTTATTTTTATTTGTATTTTTATTCTATTTTATACTTTGATAAGTAGGTACTTATGTCTATACAGTTGAAATATTGTTTAGATAAAATATGTTAACATTTTTAATTTAATTTTTATTTTTATTATCTATTACTATAGAAATATACTGAAAACTTCTATTATTTTTAAAAACAATTAATTTGTTGAAAGAGGTAAAAATATTAAGTAAGTGTTGTCCTATAGTTTATTAATTAGTAATTCATGATAATTTCATTAAAAAAACTAAAAAGTCTAGCATCATCATGGTAATACAACGAAACCTCTAAATATTGGACACTCTCCGTCATTAAAATTTCGTCTGGTATTAAGATGTGAAATAAAATGAGTACCGTGAAAATTTCATTCATTATTTGGAGGTGTCACTATTAAGAGGTGTCCGTTAAGGGAGGTTTCATTGTATTTTGAATATACATTTTTTTAGTCCCATATTTTGAATTTTGAAATCTTGCAACCCTTATGTTTAGTCATTTCGTGTCGTAGGAGTGTGAGTTAGGTTTGCATGCATTACTATTTACACAACTGATAAGAAAAAATGATAATGTGATAAAAATGTGTTTAATAACACGTGATGTATCTATAATATAATAAATTTAAATTTATGTTAGTAATTATATTAATATTAATAATACTGCCGTGATCACCGATTTTAAATATACATGACGTTACTAAAAAAATAAAATATTTATTTTTATAATATTTGTCAGTATGGCTTCAGCTCCATCTTTAGAATGGAAATCTTTAAATCTATCAGACCCAGTATTAAAAACCATCGAAGAACACTTTAAGTTTAAATGCATGACACCAATACAGGTAAATGTACAAATTATTAAGATGTTCAATTATACTTCTTTAATAAATAATAAATCAAGCTATATTTTTTTTTAGGTTGAATCTATAAAGAATTTTTTAGAAAAAAAAAAAGATGTTGCTGCAGAAGCTGTCACAGGTAGTGGGAAAACATTGGCTTTTCTAGTACCAATGTTGGAATTAATTTTAGTAAGTTGAACTACTTTTATTTTTTTTTTAGGTTTTATATTATTATTGTATATACCAAGTACTTATAAAACTATTAGTATATACCTACTAAATTATTATTTAGAAACGTAGTGATCCTTTAAAAAAACATGAAGTAGGAGGTCTAATTATATCTCCAACTCGAGAATTAGCTACTCAAACTAGTCATGTTTTGTCTGAATTTTTGAATAATATTGAAGGCATAACACAAATGTTAACTTTGGGTGGTAATCCAATTGAAACTGATGTTAAAACATTTAATAAAAATGGTGCAAATATTATAGTAGCTACTCCTGGGCGATTGGAAGATTTGTTAACCAGGAAAATACCAAATTTTCATCTGCATAAATCATTAAAATCATTAGTATGTATGAACACTTAAAATTTCTTTAGAATTATTGAATAATTTTTAACTTTTTATAGGAAATGTTGATATTAGATGAAGCTGATAAATTATTAGAATTAGGTTTCGAAAAATCTATAAATACTGTTTTACAATATTTACCTACACAAAGGAGAACTGGATTATTTTCAGCTACTCAAACTAAACAAGTAGCATTGTTAGTTAAAGCTGGACTCAGAAATCCTATTATGGTCATAGTCAAGGAAAAACATTGTTTGAACCCAAAAAGGTATTTTAATTTGTAATAACTGTCTTACATTAATTAAAATAAATGTATATTAATATTTTTATTTTTAGCAATCAAGTTGAATCTATATCTACACCTTTAGCCTTACAAAATTATTATACTATATGTGAAGCTGATAAAAAATTAGCATTTTTAGTGACATTTTTAAAAAAAAATGGTTTAAATTCAAAGTATATGTTATTTTTATCAACATGTGCCTGTGTTGAATACTTTTCAATTATCTTAAAAAAGTACATATTCTAACCATTTTTGTCCCAATATTATTTATTATAAAATTGTAACCATATGTAATTGTTATATATTGCAGTTTGATTCCTGAAATTAATTTATTCAGTTTACATGGAAAAATGAATAATAAACGTTACAAAATATTTGAACTATTTTATAAAGCAGAGAAAGGTAATTATAAATATTATTTTAATTTAATTATATTGTTTTATTCTTGTAAAATAAAACATATAATATTATTCTGAAATGGTATGTTACAAACTATGGAAAACATCAAACAATTAGAACTGTCAATAAAATTAATTTTTTTTTAACAAAGTATTGTTTGTTTTATTTCTTTATTTTAATATATAATGTATGTTTTTATAAAATAAGTATTTTAATTCAATTAGTAAACTTTGTTTGGTTATATATGTTTAACAGATTATTTATTGTAACTTAGATCAAGATGATCCAATCTTTTTAAGTTGGTGAGCTAATTCACACTTATATACGATTACAGGGAGGGAGGGGCTGCCAAAAAAATAAAAAAATAATAGTTTTATTATACAGTTAAGCACACAGTCGATAATTTCCACCTAATAATGATTATTAGGTGGCACGATAATTAACTTCTATGATCTTCCACCACATGAATTTTGATTCACTAACACAATACTTACATATTTACATAGTGAGCTGAATTCAATCATGGTTTTGGATGTTACTCATTGTATATATACCTACCTACAAAACATGTAGACAAAAACATTTACGTAGTTTTATGTACAAAACATAAAAAGTATACGAACATAAAATTATTTTGTTTTAATAAAATTGTGACTTTTTTAACCTTCCAGCGGGCGCGCTGTTGTAAATAATACAACAGTTTTATATCTATTTGCTTATTCAACTTATATTCAATTTTTATCTTGTCGGGGGACATGGGTATTCCTCCGAAATGTTATTTTCTACGTTTTAGACTATTTTTAAGTGTTTCAGTTCACTTTATTACAGAGAATCGACGAAGTATTGATAGTATTGTCGCAAAACACAACACGCGCCATTCCGTATACCCACGTAAAACACAAAACGCGTCGTTCTGTGTACCTGAGTTATTATTTAGTAATTTTTATTTTTGTGGTGGTAATAAAAACAAAAAATTGTTAATATTGTTTTATATCACTATGTAATATATACATTTTTATTTTATTTTTTATATTATTAGATATAATATGTACGATTATCTCAAAATATTAGCACTGTTGTAAAATGTACAACGCGCGACTACTCTTGTTTTAAATAATGGCGCGCCCGCTGGAAGGGAGTCTCTTATAGAAGGGACCTAAAAAAAGTTTCAAGGGTCACATTTGGTCCACGAGCTACGGGTTGAACTACCCTGACTTAAATTAATTGATTCAAATAATTTTATGATTTATTTATTTGTATGTGTAAAATTAACAATATAAATCATTCATAATAATTATATAATATAAACAATCTTTGATCTCTTTTAAATTATTGCAGTAATAATATTATGTTTTTTTTAAATGTGAACTTAAATAGTTTTTTTCATATTCTTAAATAAACATATTTTTAAATAATTCATATTGTTTTAGGTATTTTGCTATGTACTGATGTAATGGCTCGTGGTGTTGATATACCTGAAGTAAATTGGGTAATTCAATATGACCCCCCTAGTAACGCTTCTTCTTTTGTACATCGTGCTGGTCGAACAGCTCGAGTTGGTAAAAATGGATCATCATTAGTTATTTTGATGCCAAATGAAGATGCCTATGTACATTTTATTTATTCAAATCAGAAGGTAAAATATACATTTACATTTTTTCATTTTGTTTAAGAATATCATGTATATCAATTTTATCAGGTAATTTTAGAATTGATACCTGAATTAGAGATTAACAATTTAGATCAAGTTGTAGCAAAAGTTAGAAAGTGTCAACTCAAAGATAGAACAGTATTTGATAAAGCTAACAAAGCATTTGTATCTTATATTCAAGCATATTCAAAACATGAATGTCATTTATTATTACGTATAAAAGGTATGTAATGCATTTATTTTACTAATGATCCACTGAGACTAAAATAATGATCAAAATTCCTAATTTTTCTATGCAATTTGACTTTATCAATGCCTAGTTTTTCAATTTTTATGGTTCTGATTTTCTTTTTAAACAATGTATGAGTTATCATGAAATACTGTATTTATGAAAATGTATATTGTTGTTTTATTCTAGATAAAGCATAGTTTATACATAATATGACTTATGCAATTATTTTCATTTATTTAGTTTACTATTATACTATATTTATAATATTTATGTATACATTTTTGTCTATAGATTTGGAATTTGGTAAACTTGCAACTAGTTTTGGTCTATTACGACTTCCAAAGATGCCAGAATTAAAAAATAAAGTTATAAATAATTTTATTCCAGTTGAAATTGATTTCAATTCTATTAAATACCAGTAAGTTGTTTTATGTTATCTATTTAGAGTTAATTAAAAAAACAAATTAATTAGTATTTGAATTATTGTGTATTTTGTAATTACTTTAATTTAGAAATAATGAAAGAGAAGAATCACGCCAGAAAAAATTAAAAAATTACTTAGAAACTGGAATTTGGCCAGGACAAATTAAAAATAAGAAAGGATTAAAACAAACAGTTGCATGGGCTGATGCAAAACAGAAAAAACTTGAAAAAAGAGAAAAACGTAAAAAGAAAAAAGAACTTCGTAAACAAATGGAATTAGAAGGAAAAGCCAAGGAAAAAAAGAAACGAGAACAAACTTTTAGTGAAGCAGAATTGAATGATTTAGCTAAAGATATTGCTTTAATGAAAAAATTAAAATCCAAAAAGGTAAATTTTAATTATTCTTATAAAACATAATTTATATAAATCTATAATTATTGGAGATAAAACATTGAGTTTTATAAAAATAATATTTTGCTGACATAGAGATATATTTTTAACATGTAACATATTAAATGTTTTTTTTTAAATAATTACAAAAGATGTGAAAACCGTATAACTGTGTGTAAATATTAGTATTAGTTTATTACTGTTATGTTTTAGTAATTGCTTAATAGCGGATGTGATTGGTTGTTGGTTATGTTATATATGTTACTGTTAACATACATAATATAACATAACATGTTACTGTTAACATATTGCCTTTCATTTACTTTAGAATTATAATATGATACAATATTTACAGGTTTAATTGAAATTTAAAGTACCCTCATTATCTTAAAAATTATTATGGCTTTATTATTATCACCTATAACTTACAACCTTTAGAAAGTCATTACATACCTAAATAATATGGTAAAAGGTCACTGTAAATTTTATTATATACTGGATGGTCAGGTTTGTAATGAATATTAACTACAACGATACAGTGAACAAAAATACATATTGAATGCTTCATAAATTCTATGATATCGTTTATTAGTACTTTTAATTTATTTTATTTTAATTAGTTCTATGTAGCTACTTAAAAATTGTATTAGTTGACACCTTTTTAATTATAATTAATTAAATATATATTACTTGTATTTTATCCTAGTCTCTAAGTATTATCAAATTTACTCTAGGTTAAAATATTAAAACCTTATTTATAATAACAAATAAATCTTAAATTATTAATTGGAAAATAATGAAATATTTACATTTCAATTCTAAATAACTTATTATATTTTATAACTGACTTAGTCTATTCCCTTTTATAGTTATTATTGGATTCAAATATTAGTATAAAATATTTCCATGATATTGTATCATACAATATGTCCCATAAGTAATATATCACCCTTAATATCTCTATGGGAAATCAATATATTTAAACGTCGTTTTTTTTTTACAATACTTAGTATGAAATTCTGATTGAATGGCATAAAATTCAATTTTTTTTTTAAAAAAAATTTTATGCATTTAAGAATTTACAATTTTTAAGGTAGCCATTTTCTTAAGCGAATTTTTTAAAACAATTAAAAATATATGTATATATATATATTAAAATTGAATAAAAATTGACCAAGTTGGAGTAAGTTATGTTTTTGAATAATTATAACAAAAAAGTTAACTGTTTCACATTTCAATAATCCAGTGCTTTAGCCACCTAGGTCGCCCGACTTTACACTAATGGATTTTTTTTTATGGTGTTATTTGAAAAATCTTGTGTATCCGTCATATTCATTGCCTGATCTCCGTGACAAAATTTAATAAAATATTCAAAATATTTTACCCGAGACTTTAGAAAATGTTAAAAATGCTTGGGTCCAAAAACTTCAGCTTTGTGTTACAAATAATGGAGGTCACTTCGAACATTTATAAAAAAATATAATGCATTATTTTCGTTTTTATGTAATAAAATCATTTTTTTTTTCTATTAACAATCATGTTTAAAAATATTATATAAATTTTAATTTTAATGTTTCCTAAAAGCTCCACTAATAATTAGATATTTACAAATTGCCATAAAAAAAATCAGCATTCCAATCGAGATTGATTAAATCGAGAAAATTTGTGTTTCCCTAGGTAACAACTATTATTATAATTATTCAAAAACAACTTGCTCTAACTTGCTATTTTAAAAATTGAGAATTCTTAAATGCATTTATTTTTTTTTTGAATTTTTGAATTTTTTTTAAAAAAAAAATTGAATTTTATACCATTCAACCAGAATTTCCATACTAAGTATTGTAAAAAAAACCAGCTTTTAAATATATTGATTTCCCGTGGAGATATTAAGGGTGATACTGGACTTATGGGACACTGTATAACAATTATAAATTATATAAAATGTATTATATACTATAGTAACTATAAGTAATTTCGTTGTAATTTTCGTACTCACCACAATTCACTTCATTAAATTCACCTTATCACGGACAAAATTATCACTTCCTTCGAAAACAAACAATACTGTCCAGGAGTATTCTTAGACATTACCCAAGCTTTCGATCATGTGTGGCACGAAGATCTCCTTTACAAATTGAAGCTTTTTCTACCGGCTCCCTATTATTTAATTCTAAAATTTTATTAAGAAAACAGTACATTCGTAGTACGCCACTCCAACTCGCACTCTAACATGAAACCAATAATAGCAGGAGTCCCCCAAGGCAGTAACCTCTCACCTATACTTTATAACATATAGACAGCCGATATGCCAACCTCTAGAAAATCCCTACTACCTACATTTATCGACAATACCGCGATTTTAACATCTGAAAAAGACCATATAGCTGCACACAACTTCAAATTAACAATTAACCAATTCCAATCCAACCCTCAACCAAATACTTAGGAATCATTCTAGATAAGTGCCTCACATGGGTACAACATACCAAGTTCAAGCGCAAGCAGGCAAACACACATCTCCATCTACTTAGACCAGACTGGTCATATGGCATACAAATTTGGGGTCCCGCAAAATCCTCTAATATATGACCCATCCAAGCTTTTCAGTCTATTAGTCATAGAATCATAACTGGAGCCCCGTGGTTCATCACAAATGAATCTCTTCACAAAGATCTAAAAATACCCACCGTCAAGGAACTTGCAAAAATACATTACAAACGTTTCCACACCAAATTAATAAGTCACCCAAATTCTCTCATCCAAAATATGTCATCCATATCTCTCCCTGGTAATGTTAAACGTCGGCTAAAAAGGAATTGGTCAAGAGATTTACTTTATTAATTATATAAAAATTAATATGCAATAAAATAAAAAAAAAAATAATAAAAACAAAGTATTCTGAGGTGTTAACGAACAATTTCCTCCTCATATTAATCATGTTATTGTTATATATTATTTTATCAAATTTACTTATTGTTTTAAATAACAGATTGTATATATTTTTTTCGAAATAAATAAAAAAAAAAATATAAGTACTTTTTTTCAGTCATGTTGGTTATTCTATCTACCAAATTATGTAAATTATACGTATAACTATTTACAAGAAAAAATTTTTTTTTTTTTCCATTTATTTGTATTAATAATCTTTTGTAATAATTTACAGAACATTTTTAACAGAAAATGATCTATTTATATGTTTGAAATAGAAAAATGAATGCCAATTGGCAAGTTAACAAATTTTGAATGTTGAAATTAACTTATAAATCACGGTTTAAAAGGTCATAAACTCATAAATAAATAAGTATATTAGCATATGAGTTGTACTAACAGAAATGATAAATAATAAATTAAAATAAATTTTGATTGTAATAAATATAATATTCCTTGTGTATATTATATAATTAATTAAAAATATGTGGCCATCAATTATTTATGCATAATTTTACTGTAAGTTACTAATAAATTAAAAACATTAATGTTTGTTTCAGATATCTAAAGAACAATTTGATATGGAATTTGGAGAAGTATAAAATTTAAACTACTGTTATATTTTATAATATGACTGTCAATAAAACTGTTATTTATTATAAATAAATCATTGGTATATATTGGTATTTAGTTACTTATTTTATAAATCTTATAATACCAAGTACCAAATGAAATAATTAAATTATACAATACAATATATGACTCAAGACTTAACTAATTGTCTTTACTGTAGCTAACTATATTTTTTTGTTTTGAATGTTTGTACATAAACAAGAAAATATGTTTTAATTTTTGATCAAATAACTTGCTCGTTTTTACTTATTTCTATATAAACTATGTACTGTTTTACTAACTATAACTTATATGACTATCAAGTGCCAATAAACATTGGGAAATAATCAACTTGAATAAAAGAATGATAAATACTCATATTTAAATCAAAGGGTGTGTAGGTAACTAATTTTAAAGAATCATTTTTTAACTATAGGACTATATAGTTACAGTATAAAGTATGGCTAAAATGTCTATTGTAATAATATAAATACATTTGTAGTTATATTTAAATTAAAACTAGGTATTTTAGTCATTTTTAAATTTTATTAGTCCTAGTATTAATCTTAAAAATGAATTAAATGTACATCTAAATGAAGTTTATTTTAAATTTATTTATTTATTTAAATTATTATTAATTTATATAAATTAATTTATTTTAATTTCCTTCTGTTTAACACTAACTGAACCTATCATAATTTTTATAGTAGATTAGTATTACTGTACTAGAAAAACATTAGGGTATAAAATTATGGAGTTTTATAAAGTAAATATATTCAATATACAAATTATTTAAAATTAATTTCTGTAGTTTGGTGTTTATACAATTTTTAAATAAGTAAAATTAACAACATATTGATATGTGAAAAGAGGCGCAAATCTCAAACATACTTCCTTCAACATATTTTCAATTGTGTCAATAATTTGTGTACATAATACTTTTTACATAAATATCCTAAAAACTATATTATCAATTAATGTTCAGCCAAATAATTTTGTGATCTATTCTATGATATAATTTTTTTATATCATGATCTATGCATTATATTTAACCTAAGACGTTGGAAATTAGTTACATTTAATGAAAACTCTTGACTTCAATTTTAGTCACCCTTTTTGACTATTTGTTATTAAATTGAACAATTTGATACAAATATACATGACTTAAGTTGGGATGGTGAGCAGAAATTATATATTAGTAATTTTACACTCCGTATGTTCATGTACTAATTAAATTAATGATACAGAGTAGTAGATATTTATGTAAATTATGTTAAAATGTAATTTTTAAAAAAAATAGGTGTGTGTATTGAATAATATTAACATAATACCTATATCTATATTTATATATTGCAATGTCAATAACTGTTATTTCTCACCAAATAAATTAATATTAGAATATGTTTTCTTCTCTTATTCTTTTAGCGTTATCAATATTTTGATTGCTCTATTCTCTATGCCTATCTTTTGTAACTTAATTATTCTTATTCCTGGTAAAAAACCAATTCCATGTCTATCATAATTTTTTTCATGTTTTCAATTCATTTTCTTTTTCCAAAATGACCATCTAACCTTCAATATTACGCTATTAGTTAGGCAATCGTAACGCAACGCAGTAGATTGCTATACCATTTTGTCTCTTCTGATTTTTATTCGTTTTTCTTTATTCTGATTAATACCACTTAATTTTTTATTTATTTTGTCAAACATTGGAAGATTGTATTCTGAGATTTTTTGAATAACGTTAGGGACTTGGGACACCGAAACCATCTTCTATCTCAACTATCAATGTTGATGGATGTAGATCACGGATTACAATTCTGAACTAGTTATAGTATTGTGGATTGTTTTCTTTTAGAAAGTAAAAAGTTTTACTATAAAATTAAGGTTGAGTAGTTGGAATTATCAATATGAAGTTTTCAGAATCGATCTATTATATAAGTTGATTGCGAAAGCTGACTGTCATTTATTATTTATTATCTATATTCTATGGACTAAGTCTGGTATTTCACGAATAATTGGTGGTAGTAATTGTATTTTATTAGATTGATTTACTTCAATATTTGTAATGTTATTTGTGTGAGATTCAATTAACCCAATGGCAGGGGCGGACTAGCCAGGGAGGTAAAGGGACGATCGCTTCCTGGGCTCTCGATAGTGTCATATTAACACGTTGATGGGCAGTTACTAAATATTACTGCTATAGCAGTAATATGAATAGTTGATGTTGGGGGTCATTTTTCAATATTACTGCTATAGCAGTAGTATACAAACCATCCAAAATGTGTCATTACTGCTATAGCAGTGATATTTTCAATGGTCTCTTATGAAAGAGGGAGTTGTTCTGACCCCGGACATCTCATCGGACCACTGGGCACTCTATTTTTTAGCCTGTTTATACACGTCTTTGTAATCTACACACATATTTTCCATTTTTATTCTTTTATCAATTAGTTATAATTTATATATCGATAACTGGTATGTTTTTCTTATTTGATAAACAACATAGTACATATTCTATACGATATATTTATTATATTAGTACGTACACGATCGCCATTGAAGTATGATGGTCATTTAGAAGAACCCATGCCGTTAATACCAAATTATAAAAGACAAAAAAAATTTAAAAATTGTGTACAGTGTTATAAACACAAAACCAGAAAACAAACTTCCATTCAATGTCAAAAATGTAAAGTACCTCTGTGTCCACTATGTTTTAAAGATTACCATGCTGCTCAACCAGAAGGATGAATCTAAAGTTAAAATAAATTAATTAATAAAAAATAAGTTTAAAATAATGATCTAAGTATAGTATAAGTATAATTTTTCAATAATATAATAAAGTTTTTGTATTGCATTTTGTTTCATTTCATTAAATAAAAATAACTTCCTATCTTTTTATGCATTCCTTAAAATAAATCGTAGCTTTCAACATAATAATTATAAAATAATTAACCAATAAAATGTAATACTGGTATAGTAGTAATTTTGTAATCAAAAATGTGATGTCGGAGGTCAGTACTGCTATAGCAGTACTAAAAATATTACTGCTATAGCAGTAATGAAAAGTGACGTTTTAAGGGTGGTGTTTTTGAAAAATAATTAAATCAACTGTCTATCAACGTGTTAAATAACCGTATACAAAATGTAATATTAAAATATGATGGTAAAACGCTAATAATTTACAATTAGATTATCAGAATTTGGATGAATGAAGCCCAATTAACTAAAAATATTTATTAATTAAAATGTAACATAGGTCCAGTTGATCACCCCGGGTCCCTCGATACCCAAATATCATTTATGACAAGTGGAGCATAGTAATTTTTTTGTAATAAATATTGATTTATTTTTCTTATGCTCTTGTGTATCTGATTTTGAAAAGAGGAGAGGTTTTTTTTTATTTTTGGAAGCTGGATATTGTTTTGATTTAGGTATTTCTATTGAAAAATAAAGTACTTCACTCGACATACTCTATATACATGTAGTGTTATGTATTTCGATTAATGGTTGACGACTTACCTTTATTTTTGTTTTTGTATTAACAGAACTATAAGACAACTATAGGCGTTATACACTATTTGTGGGTTTCAATGTGTGTAGCGAATAATCGTTTTGAAATGACATTTTCCGACTGATTGGTCGCATTACAGTGGCGCACACAGGATTTTTTTCGGGGGGGGGGGAATCAAGGTAAAAATATAACACATTTTACAATTAACAAAAATATGCAAATTCTTAATATATTTTGACTTAATAGCATTGATAATAGAATAGAATATTCTATAATCAACGATACTAGGTATTCAATACTAGCTCTTCATATTTCAAACTTGTAAAATTTGTAAACTTTAACCTAGACATCAGAGAAAATTTCGGGGGGGGGGGGGTTACAACCCCTTACGCCCTCGCGTGCGCCACTGTCGGTGTACGTAGATAACGTTGCATAGTTTTAATTGTAATTCATATAAGTAATATATTTTTCGAAATGCAGTTCGGATCCAAATTCGGTTTTATTGATTAATTTATTGATGCTGGTTGACTTTTTCGTTAAGCATTCAATGGTACAAAATTTAAAAAAATACATCAAAAGGAAAACAGTATGACACATTAGGATAAACTGAATTATACTGACATGCATCGTGTGCAGTAGTCTACAGATAATTTAAAATAATTTTGTAAATTACGTACATTTAAGCGTAGTGCTTGTTGAATATATTTAGAAATTAAGATATTATTTTGCTGTCTCCATTTTACTGAATTCCTATGACTCGTGGTAAAAATGAAATATTTTCTTTGGAATAGAAAATCAAAAATTCGTTGAAAAGACGCAAACGCCAAATTTTGAAAATAGTCGGTCGGAACCGCCATGGAAGAATAAAGAACAGCCGGGGATAAAATTGTTGATGACGTAACGTCTGAACTACGCCATTTCGGTGCAATAGTAATATACCAGATCGACGGCGTTCCCTTTTGGTCGTCGCGACAACATAAACAAACTTTTTTTTTATTACTCGACATTTCTGCTCCCCTTTTGACCATAAGCGCAGATTGTCCTCCCAAATGCACACATCTGTATCGCGCACATCAGCTCAACATTATCGCAAGATCACACCGTAGAAATCGTACGAAGAAAGGCGGTGGTGGTGTCAACGACAACGGACGAAAGGAATAATATTACATCTTCCACGAAACGCAGTCGCGAACCAATTCTTAACAATGGGTGACAGTGATAAATTAAACATTGACAACATTATATCCAGATTGTTGGAAGGTAAGCTGCCGAGTCTAGTCGAACGCGATGGCGACGCTTCAGGATTTTTACTTTTCGCGCCTTTCGCCCTTCCTGGAACACTACCCCGTACGATGGTGACTGATTTGTTATTTTGTTTTCAACAGTGCGTGGTGCTAGACCCGGCAAGAATGTGCAGCTATCCGAAGGTGAAATCCGAGGTCTGTGTTTGAAATCTAGAGAAATATTTTTGTCACAGCCCATACTTTTGGAACTAGAAGCGCCATTGAAAATATGTGGTAAGAATATATCTGGTTACGTAAAGTTGTTAAATAAATCCAATGATTCAAAACACTAAATAAGTATTAATAATTTATGATTTAATGGTTTTGAATTTTACTGCACTTTATTCCAAAATGAATGTTTAAGAGTAATAGTTTTAGTTGACTTTTTTGTTTATATTTATTTTATTTGCATTTAAAATTTAATTTCTTTGTAATGTTTTTATTTAATATCTAAGGAAATTATATTGTTTTATAAACAAAGTAATTCATGCTTTATTTGTTTAATAAATTCTTATCTTTATAAATCAAAATATCAAAGGCATTATGCATAATATCAGGTGTGTTGGTTTTAGTGTTTTAGAACACCTGAAATGTTTAGAAAATCTAATTTTAAAAACTTAAAAATTAATCAATATAATTATTTATTATTTTAAGGTTATGTTCACATTCCACATTTCACAGAGTTTACTACTCATATTTTTGTAAAATATTTTTATAATTCTAGTGCGATTTATTTATTATCCATCTAACATTATTAAATTGAAGTCTTTATGAGAACATGAGTTTGGATTAAAAATATGCAATAGTTTTTAAAATATTGGTATTCTCTGTATAAATTGGTTAAATATATGAATAGATGATGGACATAAATCTATCCATCTGATTTAGCCTATAGAAAAACGTTTTATAGAAGTGTTATACTTATATTTTCAATATTTAGTATATTAAATTTTTTTCATCTAAATGTTAAGATTATTTTATAGCCAATATTATTTTTTGTTATAAATAATTTTACATTTTTTATTCCATTGAAATATTTTATTTTATAAAATATGGATTGAAAACAAGTTGTACTTTAAATTTCCTGTTACTTAATTATATTTAGCACCATACTTATATTTTACTTTATAAAACTGAACTTACTATTTAATAGTGTCCTCAACAAACTATTTATATTTTCATTTAAATTGCTATACAATTGTAAATAAATTCCCTTGCATTTATAAAATATTTTTGTAAGATTCATTTATTGGAATGCTTTATAATACAATGTAAAAAAAAATAGCTGAATGTAGTAATAATAAAATAATTATATTAAATTTGTTATTTACTATTAATTTTTATTTTTTCAAGGGGATATTCATGGTCAATACTATGATTTACTACGATTATTTGAATATGGAAGTTTTCCACCTGAATCTAATTACTTATTTTTGGGTGATTATGTGGACCGTGGCAAACAATCTCTGGAGACAATATGCTTGTTGTTGGCATACAAAATTAAATATCCTGAAAATTTCTTCCTTCTACGTGGTAATCATGAATGTGCTAGTATTAACAGAATATATGGATTTTATGATGAATGTAAGTATTAAATTAATTTTTTATAATGTATATATTTAAATCAATTAATTGTCTTATATTTATTTGTAGGCAAGCGTCGATATAATATTAAACTTTGGAAAATATTTACGGATTGTTTTAACTGTTTGCCTGTGGCAGCAATTGTAGATGAAAAGATTTTCTGTTGTCATGGAGGTCTTAGCCCTGATTTACAATCAATGGAACAAATAAGGCGAATTATGAGGCCTACAGATGTACCCGATCAAGGTTTATTGTGTGATTTACTCTGGTCTGATCCTGATAAAGTAATATTAATTTTTTTTATTAATTTTTAATATTATGAATTATTATTATTTTAATTTTAATATAATTAGGATACAATGGGCTGGGGCGAAAATGACAGAGGTGTATCATTTACATTTGGTGCTGAGGTTGTGACTAAATTCTTGCATAAACATGATTTTGACCTTATATGCAGAGCTCACCAGGTTACTAAATTCTAACATTTGGATATTTTTTTATACTTATTTGTACTTTTGTTTTAGGTTGTTGAGGATGGTTACGAGTTCTTTGCTAAGCGACAGTTAGTCACTTTATTTTCAGCTCCAAATTACTGTGGAGAGTTTGACAATGCTGGAGCAATGATGTCTGTTGATGAAACTCTTATGTGCTCATTCCAAATCTTAAAGGTATTTATTTTTTTTTAATTACAATAATATATTTAAGGTATAATTAATAAATTTGAATGATTCAGTTTCTCCTTATATTTAGTGTAATTAAAGGTTTTATTTATTAAGAGTCAAATAGCCCGTGAAAAGCCCAATAAAAAAAAATATTTATTTTACTTTATGATCTTATTTAAATAAGAACAAAATACAATTTTACTTTAGTGAAATATGAGTTATATTTTATTTATTAACTTTTCTAAATGAAATACTTAAAATAATTGAAGTACCAGCTTGAGTCTGATTGTACAAAAATATTATATGAAAATAATTTTTTGTTAGTTGATACATAAATCAATAAATTATAGATTAAAAGAGCCTATTTTAATAACTTTAATAACTTCATGGTTTTTTTTTATTATGTGTTAATACAGTTGTATTGTTTGCAAATGTTTCCTTATTTTTATTCTTATGTGTTAACAACCCAGAGCCTGGTTGATATTGTTTTTCCCTTTAAGCTTTTCTGCTTTAGGCTTTAATGCATAGTTTGTTTCGCACCCTAGATGCTTGGCTTATGTATTTGAGTGGGGGCCTTCCTTTATTTTCTTCTTTTATATAGATCTTATTATTCTACCTTGTAGATTGTTGTTTGGTAGTGTACATTCAATAAGTTTATGTTTTCTAATCTCTAGAGCTTTAGGAATCTTCTTTCATCTCCTACTCTTTGAAAAATTTCTCATTTGTTATACAATCTTCTTCCCATTTTATTAATTTTTCTATAGTACTACACTTGAATGCAAGTATTTTATTTTCTTAGGTCTTACTATCCACATCTAAATGTCATAAAAAGCCACATTCAAGGCATAGGTCTTAAGTAGGTTTTTCTTTATTTTCAAATCAATATTTCTTAAAGTAGACGACCCTTGCTTCTTTGGAATGCACATTGTGCCTGTTGTAATCTGCATATTATTTCTTGGGCGCATCCTTGAGCACACACGGTTTTTAAAGTATTTTGTATGTCTTCTTCACTCTTTGAAGAAACATATCTACATTTTTGCCTTGAATTTCTATTTCTACTTGTATTAATTCAAAATAAATTTACAATATAATTTAAAAAACTTATTTTCAATTTTTATATAAATAATTTATAATAAGCCAATTATATAAAAGCAATTCCATTTTATTTGTATTTTTTGATATTCAAAATTGTATATTGAATATACAATTGAATATAGTTCTTAAAAGCTTTTATGAATAATTTAAAGTTAAATTCTTAATTTTGAGGACAATTATATGTTTATGAAAAATTAAAAAGTATGATTTAAAACTTCCTTTTTTTGTTTTGAAGACTGATAGATTCAAATATTGGAGACGCATAAAATTCTATGATGCTAATGCATCTTTTCCGTTGTCTAATTAGTAAGTTGTAATTGGGGCAAATTTTAAAACCTTTTCCTTCATTTTTAGTCTGTTGGATCTAATTAATTTAACTGCACGATTTCTAATATAGTCAGAGTCCAAATTAATTTCTAGTATGTCAATTCCTATCTATGCTAACTTAAAAATGATATTAATCGATTATGAAGTTAGCATGATAAGTTTTTTATTAATGTTTAATTTATCAGCTATTTTTAAATTTTATATTCGTCAAATCAAATATTTTACAAAAGCTTAACAATTTTTAAATGAGCTTTTAGAATTAAAAGGTGCCATAATCAACACTCACAAGTACTTATGTAAAACAATGTTTAAATACCTTCCTTAGTCAAGTTTCGAGTTATATTTAATTACTCCTCTTAATTAATTTTAAAATATTAACTTATAAATAATGATATGAGAAAATGGTAGGTGCATTACTGAGAAAATAATATTAAAATAATCAATTAAAATGTATTGTTATAACTCTTAGTTTAATGTTAATTAATTTAAATTATTTAAGTTTATGTTGTAATTAAAAACTAACATTATTTTAAGGTTTATAAAATTGTGTTTTTTTTTATTATTTCTTGTATTAACCCTTATTCATAATATACTGTGTATATTAGTCAATTCATATGTGTAATATTTTCATTTATCATATTAATTCTAGCCGGCCGACAAACGAAAGTACATGTATGGAGGATTGTCATCTGGCAGACCAGTTACACCACCTAGAGGATCAGGCAAACAAGGAAAAAATAAAAAATAATCAATCTTGATGCAATAAAAATTAATATATCTATTAGGTATACAACAAAAAAGTTATAAAAATAAAATGTTATGATAAAAAAACAAACGATTTTTTTTTTTTATATAGTAAAAAATTTGTATTGAGTAACTAGTTAAAATATTAATGTATTATATTTAATTTATACATCTTAACTCCATCTTAATATTTAAACATCAATTTTATTAACTTTTAAACTGGAGTACTTTAATAATACTGGAGTATTTTAATAATTTAATATTATTGATATAATTGCACCTATTTTTGAAACTCCTAGATCATTTTTTCAATTTTTTTTTTACATTAAAACAAAATTAAGTCTTAAGTTATATTTTATTTTTCCTAACTTAGTTTTGTTTGTGTATTTAAAACTGCATATACTCACCATAATTTTGAAAAATATGTTCTCATTTATTTGGATTAGTTCCAAATAAATTGAAACAGAAAAATTAAATGTACTTTTTTGTTAATTTTTTGACAAGTAGGTAATTTTATAATTAAAATGTATTTATGAAACAATTGTTTCATTAAAATTTAAAAAAATCAAAATCCCAAGTATGTATTACAGTTAGTTATTAGTTAGATATTATTTTGTGTATTTAGATTACACTATTTTTAAACTACTATAACATAGTAATTTTTTAATTATAAATATTGAAATATTGAATCTGATACAAATTCATTAGTTGAATTATATTATCCCATCTGGAATTAATACTTGTAATTTACAAAACATAATATGTAATGTAAATATAAAATAACATACTAATTAAAACAATATATTGTACATGTTATGTATTAATTAAATACTTAGTGCTGATATATTAAAGTATTTATATTGTAATATATGTCATTAAATTATTTAATTAGCAAAATAAGAATAATGTCTACTGTATTTCCAAAGTGAAAACAATGTTAAGTCTTAAATAAAACATTTGAATGCAGTGATTCCTAAATTAATGGCCTGTCATAATATTCACAAACTATTAACAAAAAAAATAGACAATTTTGTTAAAAAAAATTCATCATTAGTTCATTTTTAAAATTAAATAATATATCAAGTAATAATAAGACATAATACTTATTTATAGAATAAGATTTTAATAAGTCTTATTAAGAGAATATTTTTGTATTTTATCAAGTTATTGAGTATTCTCATAACCCATACAGAAATGTGTGTTACACAATTAATGTTTTCAAAAAACCCTTGTATATTTTAAATTATAGTTTATAGATTCTTCATAATATAGATATTATGTACAAACCGTCAGACGTCAACTTTTTACTTCACGTGTCTGTTTAGGGGAGGGTAATCCTCAATTTTAATTTTAGCTTTTCTGTCATAATTTCTAGTCCTATAAATGATACCTTTTTAAATTTAAATTATTGTTAAAATAAATTATTAAATTTTATTTATTTTAAATTATTTAAATATTTTCAAATTAAACATTTCTTGTGTTTACCATTGTTCATATATTATCCAAATAAACTTCTTAGTAAACAAACAAATATAATAATAAAAAATAAGTACTTGTGTATCATACAAGCCAATACAAATTGCTACTTATTGAGAAGGGAAGAGAATATGAAGATACTGACACGAAAAGAAGAACAAGAAGTACTCGTATAATACAATGTATTCAATAAGTGAAATCACAGGTGTGCAACAGCCTCAATGTTCAGGGGCACACTGGCAGTGGAAATATAAGAAACAAAGAATGCTTGTAGTTGGAATGAGTGCTATGAGACTCATATGTACTCAAGTCAACAGTGGTGATCATTAACAATAGTTCTGAAATTTGACATGGATGTTTAAAAGCCAGTCTAATTATTTGAGTTAAGTCTGGTTGAGGAATAAAATTTAGAATTCTTCCAGAAAGTTTGGGCATATCCGTTGGCCGTTTGTGCTGATCTTGTGGTACCAATATGGTTAGCGCATAGCTTAATAGTTATACCTGAATTTGCTTATGTGAGATAGGGTTTCATGCTAAAATATCATATTAGATAGTAAGCCAAGGCCAACAAAGAAATCCAGGTCACTTACTATGTAATGCACACATTTGGTTAAGAACTAAATTTATTATAATATTTATAGATATGATTAGTTTCATCTGCAATTGCATACAGTCGTCATTTTTATCAGGTATGCATATTTCATGGTTTGTAATGTAAATAGTATACATATTTGTATAGAAATTTAACATACTGACTAAATGTGTAAATACATATCAGCCTAGAAGTAAGAAATTTTTTACTACACAATTCATTACAAGTCTTATTTTTTTAAGGAAATTTACAATCTATTATTAATTATATACAATAAGTAAAATTGATGACTGTACTTATAAATGTAAATTGCTAAGAAACAAGAAGCATGTTATAAGGGAAGTCATCCAGTAATGGAATCCTTTAGAATAATTTATTTACTTAATCAATATTATTTTAATTGACTTAATAGGTCATTGCATCAATGCTTCTTGATGCAGCATAGGTGGTGGGTTGTAAGGAAAAGTAATGTGGACTTTATAACTTATAATTATTGACAACAGTATCTGAACTGCCTGACATATATTAAGAATAAATCAGAACAAAGAACACTCTATTACTGATTAAGGATCCTGGCTGTGATTCTCTAAGTATGATAGACGTTTACATAAGTGGCATAGGTAAATACACTGCCCAATAAAATAGCGAGTGACATGGCTTCTTAATTTAAATACTGTCCTGTAACATTTTGTGATGTTAAATGGTCATTTTCTGCTTTAAACTTATTTTAGATGACAAGAGCCATAGTTTTACAATTAGGGCAATATCTAGTAATATACCATTATGAAAACTATAGTTGTAAATAAATATTTTTATAAGTTATTTTAATTTCATTTTTAGTGCATATTTCAGTTTTTTATGCTGCATATTTGCATAGGTACATATATTAGTGTATTTTTCACTACAGATATTCCACAGTATAATTATTATGAAATTAAATTATGTGATAACAGTAACTTAGATAAAAACTAATTTAATTCATTTTTTTACACAGTTACACAGTTACACTTCTAATCACAAAATGTAATTTAATTTAAGTACAAAAATATTTTGGATACACCGTAGTAAAAATTAATTTATAAAAAATACATACATAAACTAATGATAAAAAAATTAAACATACATCAAAAACCAATAACTCGATTATTGAAGTCAATATTAGAATATTAAATTAATTAAATTTAATATAAGAGCTTAATGTCAACTTTAATTTCGCTTTTTTACTCTTTTCAAAATCGATAGTATCTTGAATCTCTAGCTTTCATACATGGCAGTAATGCCATGTTGTGATCAGAAGTGGCAGTGAATCTATTTTTTGATTTTGGTCCAGGTAAACGAACAAATTTATGCTTAGAACAAAATTTGTTATATTCTGTAGCAATTTCATACATCTTGATATTTGACAACTTTTCAGTGATATCAATAGTTAAATTATTTGATGTTGGAATCAAATCCAAACTGGATATCATAATATTCTTATATAAAATACTCTCTTCGGACAAGCAAATATCTCTAAAAATAATATGAACTAAATGGTAAATTTATATTAACAATTTTTTTTATCAAACCAATGTGAAATAGTATGGTTATAATTATATGGCATCAAACTAAAAATATTAAATAAAAATTAGATGTATTCAGTATAATTTATTTTTAAAAATAAATCAAATGTTTTAAAATAATATTTTATTTTCACAAGTGAAAATTATTTTCTTTTTATTCAAAATTAAATAGACTAAAATTAGTTAGCATAACTAATGCACAAACAAATTTCCAGAAACAAAACTTACAAAAAATAACCATTATTTTGATTTTTTAAACACTCAACATTTTTGTATCAACAATTTAACCAATATTTTATGATGGTGTCATAACTCCTTTCAATAATAAAAATAAAAAAACAAATTACAATAAATAATGACAAATTATTAACAAATAGTTTAAAAATAGGCATTTTATACTATTAGAAGACTAATTTATTATTATTACTTACTTAAGTTCACGAAAAAACCATTCAATAGCATCCATCCAAATTTTCAAATCTTTTTGTTCTACTCTATTCTTATTTGAATCAATCTTCCAATGATGTGAAATACTTTGAGATATTAAGATTTGAGGATGACCATCTTTAAATTTTGATTGCAAATACTTAATACTTAACAAATTTTCAAGATTTATCATTTTCTCTCCAATTGATTCATCATTCATAAGACATTTAATCATTATTTGATTTTTAATTGTATTGAATGATGTTACAAGTATTTCAATAATATCTTCATCAAATTTAAAAATTATTACGGGTACTCCATCATTAGCTATTACTTTTATATCATATTTAGAGGCAAATTGTTCAGAAAAATTAATAAGTATATTATCATCCTCCATTGTTCAAAACCTATAAGTAAAAATGAGAACTTAAAAAAATTCATTATCAGAATAACCTAGAAAAAATTAGATTGTTAGACTTATAATAATATTTAAGTGTATAAGATTTAAAGAAATTGAATCAAAAATATATTTCTACATAGATAAGTTATTTATCAAATAAATAAAATACTATATACTATTTCACAAATTTCAATGGTAAAGAACAACATATTTTTATTCTATTATTGCTATTTAGATACAACTTTTTAATAAACTGAAAAAAATGTTAAAAACTCCAATCAATAGTTTTAATTTAATTTATTAAAATAAATAATTGCATAGTTATAGTCAAACACTAGTCAAAATTCTCCTGATGTTTCTGTGGAAGGTTTATCGAAGTTATGAACATTAATTTGAAAAATATTCAATTTAATAACCTTAAAAAATATAATTTGTTTTGTTTTAAATTAATTGCATTTGCATAAAACAGGAAAAAATAAAAATAAGATAAAATAATACAAACAAGACTTCAAATTCAAATATTAAAAAGTATCGGTTACATATAAAAGTAATAAGTATACATAGTACTAAAATTTCTATAGAAAACAAAAATAATTATCAAAATGTTATTACACTTAGCAGAAAATGAATTGAATTGTATATATATATATATATTTTTTTTTATTTGTCCTATGCAAGTGAATTGGTATAAAATGTATACATAATTTATTAAACAATAAATTCTACAAAAACTGATTAACTGTTTAAATAGCTTAAACATTTGTAAAATGAAAACTTGAGTTCTAGAAGTATCAGATTTTCTGATATAAACATGAAAATTGAAAATTGAATAATCTTTACATAAGAAAAATCAATGTGAGTGAATAAAACAATCGTAAACGAACAAATAAAATAATAATAGTAAAACTAATTTTTCCCAAATATCATGTCATAAATCAAAAAAAAATTAATTTTTATTTGTTTTATCTCCATATTGTAACCTGAGATGGAATTTTATGATAAAATTAATCTTACCGTAATAAATACCGTGATAAATTTGTTATTAATGAGAAATTGAAAAAAAATATGTCGACTCGGACACAGTATTTCACAGTTAATATACATGAAGCACAACGACACGCGTAAAGCAACGTTGAATGTATTATAGGTAATCCTTGGTACCACACTACCACATAAAAAACTATGGTAACAACAACGATGATATGCACGATTTAATGTAACAAATTACCAGAAATTTCAAATTAGGTTAGGAATATATATTTTTAATGGCAATGGTGTTTCCAAATTAATAACAAATAAACACAGCAAATTATATACAATTACAGATTAAGTGAAACATGCGATACGAACTATAAAACCATATAGGGTCACACTGATTTATTATAATCCTGCATTTGTTAGAAACGTTAAGTGCACAGTTTGAAACACCGTTTTAGAAAACCTAAGACCAGTGACGGATTAGGGGGCAGACTAAAAGACTTATAGCTTAGGGCGGCTTTTTTTTATAGAATTAAGTGTTATTATTGACTTATATAGGTATATTTATTTTGATATATTTTTTTTTACATTTGTCATATAAACATGAATAAAAATAATTTTAAAAAGTTATAATAATATATTAATATGTACATTGTATGATGCGTACCTCTAGGCTATAGTAAGAATATTACAATTATTATTACAATTTGAAAATGTTTCATTTGTAATAAAATAATTACAGTTAGTTACTTTTTTATAGTTATTATTAATAACTTGTTAGTACCTATGTATTTAATTGGGAACATTAGACTATTTGAGTATACGTATTTTCATTTTGGCTATTTATATTTCCATTATGTGACTGTTTAAGCATTATTTATTTGTACTGGTAATAATGGTATCTGAAGTAAAATAATATACATGAAATATTTTATTTTTAGAAGTTTTTTATTTTAAAGATTTTATATTTTATATTTTTTTTTTTGGATAAAAAAACTGAATTAAATTTGAAGAGAAAATTTTAGACCAAATACTGTTGGTTCTTTAGCAAAGTGATAGGGTGGAGGCAGAGTGATTAAGTCTAGGGGCGCCAAAACGCTAAATCCGCCACTGTCCAAGATCGTGGTCATATAATTTATATATTTTGTTGTTTTAAGTTGCTGGTTCGTGTTACTTTAAACTATAAATATAATGATATAATGTGCTGTACAAAATTTATGAAATTTACATAATTTATTTAATTAATAGAATAAACATCATGGCTATAGTAAAAATTAGTTATGGTAATATTTCATGGAAAAAACCGCGAAAATATGATATCAAAATTTGATGGCATCACCATAAGGTAAATATTGGTATCACACATTTTCAACGTATACTAATAAGTATTTTTTTTTAGGGGAAAAAATGGAGAAATGTTTAACCTGGGTTTGGGGAATCTTAAGAAATTGAGTTACGAGCCTTGGTTTACAGTCTGGTAAAATATACGCCATGGTGTAGTGTGGACCTGGCTTTAATCGTATATCCTAAGATTCGCTGTCTTATTGAGAAAAAATTTAAACCTTTTTCTTTTTTCTAAGTTTTCTTCTCCCCATCAACCACGTAGGTCATAAATGAGTACATTCAATATTGATGTTTTAATCATAGTAGATAGTAATATCTACATTGCGGCCAAGTCTAGTTTATGCCTCATTCAGAAACTGGTCAAGTGTTAAACAATGCAAATAAAAGAGGAATGTTACTCTTTAATGTAGAAGTGCAGTGATATTATGAATTAAAAAATATCAGACTTGGTCATTATGTAGATTTCATAACGTTTTTTTTGGGAGGGAACTTGGCTTTTTTTCACCGTTAAGTTTTTTTTGGGGATATAATTTATTTTTGTGGGCATCGTGGACGACGTTTTATTATTATTTTTTTTTATATGTCGTAGATTTTCTCTTATAAGACCGTTTAGGTTTCTGTTGAGGAACTGAGAAATTAGATTCTTGAGCGTTGTCAATACCAGGCAATGATAACCAAGTACGATCTTTTATTTTTCGTCGTCGATACTTTTTAGATAGAATGTCTGTTAAGTCTGGCCTATACAAAGTTCTTAGACGGTTATATTCAACAATGACACTATCCTTAGCTTTCACCTGACAGGGATCAAAATTAAGTGAACTCCCTGGAGGGGATTGGTCGGAATCCGTTCTAAGTCATACATTGATCAATAGAAAGTCATACGTTTATTAATGTTTTCTTATGACGTTACCACGTGAAATTATCGTCCGTATACCGATGAATATAATTAAAATATTCTGATTTGAATAAAATAAATTTACGAAAACATTATTATGTTTTATAAATATATATAAGTCAACTACAAACAACTTCTTATTACCATATTGTAACGCTGTTTGAAAGAAAACGTTTATGCGTGCTAAGCACGCTACTTCATACGTTTAGAAATACACTCTCTAAAGCGGCATTAATTTTGGAAAAAAATTAAATTTTTAGATTTTTCCCTTTAGTTACACTTTAAAACCACCTTTGTGCCAAATTTCACGTTTCACTATTCGGGAAGTGTCTTATAATTTTGATGATCAGTAAGTGAGTGAGTCAGTAACAAAATTGCAAATTTTGAAATCCTCCCATTTTGAAATGGTATTATATTAAGGGCCCGTTTTCTTACAGCGTCTTAAGATATTTGAGATTGATCTGTGTTTTAAATTTCAAAAGTTTATCTTAAGAGGAAACAAAGATATATGGGTTAGAATAACCGGGCGAATTGGTTCGTGTAAAGATACACGGGCATTGCTGGAACTTGGTCGGCGCACTGCCGTGCGTTCTGATTATATTTTGTCACATTTGGTGATTTTTTAAATTTATATAGGAGGTATAATTAATAATTATGCAATTTAAATATAAGTAATAATGTGCTATTTAAAATATATATAATATAGACATTAGTAATTTGTAAATTTATTGCTTTTGCATAGTACACTTCTATCCTATCCGTTAATACGCTACTGTTTGTAATTAATAGTGTGGTGTATATAATTTTGAATAATATTTTAATTTGTCCCGAGGCGGCTACATAGCTTAACACTGCACTGCTTGCTGTGTTATTAATTTGCTTTATTACTATTTTTTTTCTTTCCTTACATTGTTGCAATCTTTTATACAATGCATCAGTGGCGTGTTGACCGTGATTTTGAAGGGCAATTGTTCGATAATTTTAAAGGGGTGAGTAGGTGAGTACTAGATTTAGTGAGACATTTTTATCATCTGATTATGATATTTTACAAGAATCATAACTTCAATAATAATTACTTAGTAAGTATACCAGTGCCGCAACTACAAAATAGGAGGCCCGTGTGTGGTAATTATATTAGGCCCCTTCCTGGAAGTTATTTTGGTTATACGTTTTATTTATAAGTATCAATTTTTTAGGTTATAAAACACATTTCACATCAGTTAGTGTATGATATATGTATATATATAAAATAAAATAGGTATCTACAACAGTTGTATATTATACTTAACTACATATTTATGTAGTAAATTTATTTAAGTAGCTTAGGTAGGTATGATGTGGGCCTACTCAAATACTCAATGAATTCATTGTTAAATAAATATTATATTCCTCTAAAATATTATAATATCCTTAACTAAATTTTAAAAAAGTTTCTTTTTATTATAAAATAATAATATAATATTATTAAATAATCGTGTTTGTAAAGTGTAGTTTATTTTAGGCTGGGATTAGGGGGGCCCACAAATGTATGTAAACCTTGGGACCCGTGTGCGCGGCACACTTTCCACACCCGGTTTTTGCAGCACTGAAATATACTAAGAAAATTTATCCAATGTAGTGCCACGATATTGTAAATAACAACACTGAATACGGCTATAATGAAATAACAATATAGATAGCATTATAATTTTAGTTTTAGTATCTACTACTTAGTACAATAGACCAAAGATCGCGAGCCGAGGCTCAGACGAGTGTGCACCTTCTATGAGATTTCTCTCCTCAAAGAACACGCCCCGTACGGGTCGGTGATTCACACAACCCGGGCGGATAGACGCCGCTCCCCGCCAAACTGCCGACTTTCGTACTGTTAAGTCTTGGGAGACCCCAGGCGCCCGGTGCTCGCCTGGTTGACCTAGCGACGCCACAACTCCGTCGAGTCCAACCTCAGATCTTCCGAAGCAGACTGGGCGCGGCGGGAAGACGCGTAGGACACACGCCACCCTGAGCTAACCGCGCCTCCCGACGTAACATTCCTATTACGCGTCAATGGTTGGACAAGCGTTGACGGCGGCCAGTCACCCCGCCATCCCCCGTTTTTAGAGGGGACAATCGCCTTGTTTCCATCACGACTCACATCTACTAAGGGGGTACGGGACCGATGCGACGCAGCATTTGACAGCCGCGCCGCTCCGGGCCCGCGGCCCCCGAAGGAGTGCGAGAATCACATGAAACGCAACAAGACGCCCGGATGACCGACCTGCCGGGACGGTCACACCGACAGGCCACCAGCCTCCGGCTAACCGGATTCGGAGTCATTTTGGTCGTATGGCCGCCTCGGAGCTCTCGGTCACCGTACATTTTACGCATCAGCACGCTAGGCGGAGCTCCCACCCCGTGCTGGCTGATGCGCAAGTAAATTGTCCGAGCGAGAGTATTCTACTATTTCCCTCATTTCCCCTACCACAGAGGAGTGTTTTAATACCGCTATCCGCAACCTGCGGACCCGATCTACCAGTATTTGCCGCTGCTTCGATTGACCCCGACTAGGTCAGCAAGACCACGAAGGAACAGGGACAAGCCTGCTCCCTTAGCCGAGGTTTCGGGTAGATTCTACTACTGAAATAGTTTATAAATAAATAAAATCGTTATCGTACATCGTGAATTCCCAATTCCCCGTGACCTGCGTCTGACATAATGCCGGGTTTACACGAGGCGTAGTACTTGTCATTAGTACTTGTCACTCGCACCCATTCATTGCTTGAGCATCCAAAAGACTTTTGCATTCGCACTCGCACTAGGTGTTAGGTATTAGAAGATAGTAACATAATTTGATAATCAATGATAATAATATTAAATATATTATACATATTAAATTGTAAAATTAATAGGAAATAAGATTATAATTACTAAAATAGCGATTAGAAGTAAATAATATATTATTAAATATTATAATATAAAAAATTAATCGTCAAGATCAATAGTCGTGAAGAAATATATAATGGACCGTTGTTGTATCGTATAACAAAGTTTGAAATATAATTCAAACATAATAATTTCATCAATCATAGACGAACTAGAAGTTGAATTAAGAATTATCATAATTCACAGTGTGCAACATGCGTCGTACATGTGATAACACAAATATTACTAAGCACTAATACTAATCATCATGCCGGGTTTACACGATGCGTAGTACTTGTGTCATTAGTACTAGTCACTCGCACTTGCACATTTCGTGTAAACAGAAAAAATAGTGCTTAGTATTAGTAAAACCCGGAATGTAAGTGAATAGAACGCCGTTCTATTTACTATCGACAAGTAGCTACTCCCTCCACGACTCTACTCGTGGTTACACTCGCAACATGTGACCACTTAATGCCGGGTTTACACGATTCGTAGTACTTGTCATTAGTATGTCACTCGCACTCGCTCATTGCTTGAGTGTTCATACGACTTTCGCATTTGCAATCGCACTTCCGGTTTTACTAATACTAAACACTGTTTTTTCTGTTTACACGCAATGCGCAAGTGCGAGTGACAAGTACTAATGACAAGTACTATGCATCGTGTAAGCCCGGCATAATGTATTAATGTTAAGCTGTAAAGTTGTTTATGATAAATATTAGCTTATTTTTAATTTTACAGTTATTGTTACATGACCTTCATATTAATTACTAAGTGTAATTTAATATAGTAATTCATATTTAAATTACAGTAGTTCAAATTAAATAGATATAATTTTTTTGTTGGGCAAATATTGTAAGCATCAAGACTTAAGGGGTGGTAGCATAATTGGAGATCCTGGAAAATATTGAAGGGGGCTCAAATATCTAGTAACAAACAGCTCTGTGGGGCATTAGCTTCAAATTATAAATTTGGGGGGGGGGCTTGCTCCCCCATCACTGCCTCTGGGGTGGTATGTCATTCAAAACAATGAATTACCCTATAAAATATTTCCCTTCACCACGCCACTGTAATGCTTAAACTAAGCAAGCTGTTTCCACATCATCTAATGTATTTATATCTAATCAGTTTAATGCCATTTTCAAAACAAATTAAATAACAAAAGTAACAAAAACGTACGATGTGTACATGAATACGTTTAAATATCAAATTACAGTATTTTGAACAAGGTTTAGTTACACCATTTCCCGCGTGTACGCTCTCGATATTTGTTTCAAAAACAAGTTGTTAAAACGCGTACGCTAGCATCTTAAACGGGTAGTGTGTAACCAGTTTAAAGTATATCTTAATTCATGGTGAAAAAAGTATATTTTATAACAACTCGTTTATAAAATTAGATACATAAAACTAAAACATGTAATATTTTATATTATTTACATACTGTACATAGAAAACTAAAAATTTTACGAAAAACATATATATTTTACGAAAGATTTATATACAATTAAATATTAAGCTAGATATTTATAAGCATACATGATACATTACATAGATTTATAACATGGATATGTTTTTTAGATGGATATTAAGAAGAATGGTGAGAACAGAAAAGCATAAACCTTCTTTAATTACATTGGTTATTTACTAAAATAATACAAGTCAAAGTTTTAACCCAAAAACATATCCATGATTTAATGTTATACATAATTATAAGTTACCATAGTTGTTTAAAATTTGGTCCATTTTTTTTGAAAGTAAACAAACAAAAAAGTAAAAAAAAAAAAAATTGTTTGTTGAAAATATACAAACAAAAAAATGTAAAAGAATTAAAATTTGTTGTTGAAAACAGTATAACGTATTTTTCCTGCTTTGAAAATCGGGTGATATTAATTTTATCATAACTTTTATCAATATAAATTATATAATTGGATTTGGTAATTTTCGATCATAGAGTAGTATTACTCTATGTTTTCGATTTAGTCAGTTGGTACCATAGATAATAAAGATTCTTCAAGATTCTTTATTATCAATGGTTGGTCCGGATTTTCAAATTTTGGACCTTATCATTTTTCGGATAAGTGCCAATCACTCGTCCAGACTGTATATTGATTTTTTAAAGATTAAACGTCAGAAACGTGATTATGTTATCAGTCACATAATTAGTACAATATAAAGAATAGGTTGTATAGACATTAGTCAGTAGGTATTACATGTTTTTTGCTGTGTAATAAGTACAATATTAAATGTTCATTTAATTTTTTTTTAATTGTTGTGTACGTAAAAAGTCTTTATAGGACTATTAATTATATTATACTTTAGTTGCTTTTAATATTATAGTTTTTTAATCAAATGTTGTGTTATTATAATAGGTTCTCTTAATTATTAATTCTACCACATGTAATAAATACATTCCAAAATGTTTTTACTGCATTGTTAGCAACTTCAATAAGTATTAATCAAGTTTTATAAGACCAAGACATGGACATGATAAATATAACTGGAGTCGTGGTTGTACATTTTAATTCAATCTAATATTTAATTGATAAATTATAACAAATAATATTATTATTTTAGTATGAACCAGCTGAAAATGTCACTAGAATTTTAACTAGAGAAGAACAATTGAGGTATCCATACAAGTTATTAAATTGTTAATATATAGGTATTAGGTATAAAATTGTCCAATTATTGTTCTTTATACATTCACTATAAATTATGTGAATTACCATCTTCAGTGATTTATATGCTTAAAGTACTATTTGGTATGATTAATCTACTTAAATAATAGCTGTAGTAGCAATGCATTAAAGCTAACTAATTTTTATGCTCTGTGAGGTATGTTCTAATTTTGAAAGCAGTATAGTATCAAAGCAGTATGTAAATATATAAAGTTGGTGTAAAGATAAACAATTTATTATTTTTAAATTTGATTAACTATATATAAAATATTTTATTAAGTGTAATGTAAAAAACAGAGTTTCGATGAACTTAAAATTACTGTAATATGCATGCATTAATGTACAAAAAAAAAATCATTAATATGCATCTTTAGAAAATGCTGAGTAATATTTATTTTACTTTTAATATTAAATATTTATATTTATATATAATATTTATTTTTATATTTTATATTTTTTCAATTTGGTCAAACAAAATCTAAAAATATTTGCGATCAACATATGGGTTGATAATTTATAATTTATTTAATTCCTTAAATTTAAATTATTTTTTAAAAAACTTCAAAAATTTACTGAAATATGTGTTTATATTCTTAAAATTCCAAATATATGCAAAGTAAAAATTTTATTCAGTAGAAGATGAATCAAATTTGTATCCAGGTTCATAACTGGATTAATAGAAAAATAGTGTTATTTCATAAACATCCAAGCCCTAGTAATAACCATATTAATATTGATTTAGTTAGAATTGAATTGATATAGTTGAATTGTTTCGTTGATGAAATATTCTTAATGAAATTTTAATTTTATAATACATTTAAACATTTATGAATCCATTGATAATTTTACTATCACTTATAGTTCTATATCAGTAAATTATGTATATAATTTTAACTGAGCTATTTCAAGCAAATAAATAGCCAATATGCATGGTTATTCTTGTTGGATTTTAATTTCTTTGGAAAATATTTTTCAATTACATTTTCTGAGTAAATACATTTATCTAATAGATTATTAATTCCAATTTGTTTATTAATTTAGGTCTTAACAATTTTAATAATTTTATTAGGTATCTTAATAAATTAAAAATAGTTTATTTACTACTGATAAATTAAAATATTTGAATGAGCTTAAATAAGTATATAATTTCATATAGATATTCAATTATAAATTTAAAGTATATACTTATCATAATAATATAAATATTTTTAAATTCAAATTTTTAGAGAAGAACATAAAAAGTTACATGAACTTCATAAAGGCCATGAGTCAATGCATGCTGAAATGCTATTAATTCTTATGGTTACTATGATTGTCGCTCAAATAGCCTTAATAGAATGGAAAAGAAGACATTTTAAATCATTTCAAGTAAAAATTGATTTTGGTTAATTTTTTAAATTATAATATATTTTTAAATTATTATTTTTGTAGGTTGTGACATCTGTAGCCTTATGGGTTATACCATGTATAATGTGTGTTCGCATGTCATATTGGAGGTTTATTGTATTTTGGATTTTGTTTTCATTGATCACAGGACTAGTCGTGCGGAAAGCTTTAGAAAAACCTTTACAAGGGTCAACTCCTAGGTATGTTTTTGGTACTTGTTTTATTAATCGCCAAGGCGAGCACTCAATATAAAAATATTGCACCATGTTGTGTATAGTGTGATGGCATAAATGTTATCCAGATTGGTGTACAAATGGTTCTATTTCGTCTACAAACTAACCTACGTACTTGGTATTATTGGTTACTTCATCATGGTAGCTGCATTCTTTGGCATAAGTGTTGTTTTCAATGTTAACCCAGCTATTTGGATGGATTTTGGATTGATTATTATGTATTATGGATTATATTTTGGTGTGCTTGGACAAGATGTTGCTGAAATATGTGCATCAGTAATGGCTGCACATCTAGGAGTATGTAATTAAAATACAATAAAATACAAAAAATTTAAATTTATGAAAAAATAAAAAATAATTAAAAAACATTGTAGTAAGAATTATTGTTGATTAGCTTATGATTGTATTTCATTATTTTGAATTATTTTTTGTATTTCATTACTATTATTATAGTATTATACACCACAAGGAATGCCAACTAGAAGCTTGGATAAAAATATTTGTGCTGTGTGTGGTAACAAACTTTTAGTGAGTGCTGGCGAAGAGGGTATAATTGAATCTACTTTTCAACTAACTTGTGATCATACGTAAGATATTTTAAAAATTATTAGTTATTATTATATTATTACTTATTTCAAATAATAATATAAGCTATAATGTATTTGTAGGTTTCATGAATTTTGTATTCGTGGATGGTGTATTGTTGGCAAAAAACAAACGTGTCCATATTGTAAGGAAAAGGTTGACCTTAAACGAATGTTCCGTAATCCGTATCCTTTTTTTCATTGAGAATATGATACTAAAGGTTTCAGTTTTTGAAATATATAGATTGAAATATCATTGGAATTAATAGTGTACTATTAACACGAGAAAAAGTAATTGTTTCGCATTGGTAGTTCCTCCACATAATCACAATATCGGTCAATGATTTGCGTCAGCAACTCAATCCATATGGCATTTTACAAAAATGTGGGGGGGTATGTGCAACGCTGACCAGTTCTGGTCAGAAGTTGGTACCTTTCTCTCATGGAAACGAATCTAGTATTAACATTTAAATATATTGAAGAAGGAATAAATACAAGGCTGGGCAAGTTACTGATTTTTTTTTTAACTCAGTTAAGTTAATTTGCACCAATAACAAAAAGTTACAAGTTTATTCACATTTTTCTTTAAACTTTTTATTAAGTTAAAAAGTTAATTTTTTTATACAACGCTAAATTTATTTTAACAAGCCTAAAACTAATTTATAGACTATAACTATAGTGTATACTATACTTGAATTGTGAAATGAAGAATTGTATTTATATTTTCTTTGATATTTTATATAAATTATATTGATATTATTTATTTAAAATAATTTTGAACTGGAATACTTTTCCTTAACATTTTATTTTTCAGATGGGAAAAACCTCATGTTTTATATGGTCAATTATTAGATTGGTTACGTTGGTTTGTAGCCTGGGGACCAATTATAATGACTGTAATTCAGTTTATAAATTATACGCTTGGACTGAAGTAGTTCAATATTAAAACAATTTTTGCTTATATATTAATATTGTATTAATATAAAATATACATATATTATTTATTAATTTATTAAAATTTATTTCTTTACCCGATGAAATAAAATTTATAATTTACCAATATTTAAAATATTTTACTGTTTCTTACTTTAATTTATTAAACTAAATTACTAAATTATTCAACTAAGTATTATTTTGAAATTTTAATATACATTTTTTTTCTTTGGTACACAGTGGATAAATAGGCTTTAGGTGTGAACAAAATGGTTTGAAAATAATTTGTTATTATGTTTTATAAATGATAGTGGTATACAGCGCCGTCGCGTGAATCTGGCAAATCGGACATTTGCCGGGGCCTCGCTTTTTTAACCATATTTTTCGCAAACTATAATATGTTTAAAATCTAATACAATAATTTATTAAACAATATTTGTTATAATAATAATATTATTATATTTAACTGTAATAAAATCAATTATTGAATTATTTATTCAATATTTTATACTTGTGGGTATCAAAATATTAGTTGATCGATGTAAAAATGTATTTAAGAAATTGCCTGCGCGTTGTCCATTCTATTTTTATAGTTTCTAGTATAATGTGTATTACAGATAAGATACGATTACATACATTTATTATGTTTACCATAATATTCTAAATATATCTTTAATAAATATTTGGATGTATATACCTATTAGAAATACAACGAAAATTATTATACCAGTACTCGATTTTTATTTATTTGATCATCGTAATATTGCCGTTATGTTTTAACACTATCATTTTTCTGATGACCATCACCGAGAGAAGTGAGAACCACAAAACTCATAAGCAAAACAGTTTTACGTTATTTTACTGGTAATTTATATTTATATTTTATTTTTTAACATAAATATTTTGTCAATAAACTATAATTGAAATAATCAATTTAGTTTTTCAATTATGACTTCGAATGCTAAACATGATAGCATAAATTTTAGTACCAAGCCGCGAATCTAATAGCGGTTCTCTAGAACTACATAACGCGCCGCAAAAGACGCGTGGTACATATTTTGATATAATATCAAATATTCACTACGTTGTTATACGTTCTATTTTATATATGTGTTTGATTACAATTATTACTATACTTTTTTATTTTTTATCATTAATTTTCAAACTATAGGACAATGTTGCATCAGCAGAAGAAAAAAATATTAATTAATCTTCTATTAGAAGAAATAGAAGAAGACATTTTTATTGAAGAAGTTATAACAAAAAGAGTGAACGATATGTATTCAACCAGAAAAGAGGAGGGTTTTTTTAGTGTATTGATTGAGAAGCATTTGTTTAGAGATAAAAACAAATTCAGACAATTTTTTAGATTAAGTTAGGAACAATTTAATTATGTTTTAAATTTAATCGAAGATGATAATCTTCTTTTCTTTGCTTTAATAAACACCCGTCTTATCCTAATCACATTTTTACCCGTGTCCCCACATCCTGACTTAATTCTGATCAGGCTGGGATCAGTACCGCAACTACCGGGTGTGCAAGGTGTGCATTGCACATCGACGCCCAAACCGTTATGAGCCCCAAACGATGTATTATTATAGACATTTTAACTGAAGTAAATTTATTAATGTAAAAAATAGATTTATCATATTATTAAAGATTTATAATCAAATAATATACCCAACTACTAAATAGTTGCCAATAACCAAATGCAATAGCCTACCATTGATTATAAATACTATTATATTACTAAAGTATTTTAAATCCTATGGTAATATTAATTATTAGAACAAAAATAGCAGAAAATAATTCAGGTTTATATTAATACAGGTAATTCAAAATTAAAAATCCACTAGACTACCTTCCATAATATTAACACCGGTTAACATATTTTATTTATAAGTAAATAATTTTTTGAAAAAATATTTAGGCACTAAATTCAGATTTGCATTCCAGCCCCATAGGGTGTAGTTGCCAGCCAGTGTATACAAATCATGTATTTTTTAATAAAAATAACGTGCACACGGCCGCGTCTTGGCTGCCTCATCGCTGCGCGGCAGTCGCTCACCGCAGCCGCGGTCTAATTGCTTTCCAATTTTTTCTAATTGCTAATTTGCTAATTTTTCTAATTGCTTTTGCAGTTGGAAAGTTGTAAATAATTTTCTGATAACTCTTTAATAAGAACACTTGATAGATTTAATCCAGTAGTCGATTTAACTTCAATACAATTTAAAAAATATTTCTTATTAATGATCTCACCACACTGCTATTTTTCGCTGTTAAGGGGGCTCCAGTCGTTGAAAAAAAGTGGCTTTTAACCAAAAAGCTAGACAAAACTGTAGAAATATGATTTGATAGATTTTAATTTTTTAAACGGAATTTGATTAGTTAACAAGTTTTCTATGCTTTGAAAGTGGTGATTTTGAAAATTTTGAAAATTGTTTAAATTATGATTAAAAATATAAATAAAAAAAAATCAAATTTTTGTTTTATTATAGCTTAGCCGGTAAAACCGATATTAAAAATCGCCTCCTCAGAAGCCTAAAGAACTTCTCAATCAATAAAACACCGTTTACTATATTAAAATCCGTCCAACCAAATTCCTACAGTTTAGTCCAGCTTTTCGGTCTAAATACCTCTTTTTTTTTCAAATGAAAAAAGTATGGCATTTAACATTATTGACTTGCTCCTGCGCGTACATAAATTTACGTCGATTATAAATAAACAGACTTATTGACCGACCGGTTACGGCTACAAGTACAGTTCCACGAACTGCGCTAAATTTCAAGATTACAAGTAATAACCACCACGACCCATATATATATATATATATATATATATCACCTTATTATTTCTCCCGTATTGTTGTTTATATATTATTCATTCTGCATCCATAAACATTCAACATTTCAACATTCAGTGTTTATATTGTCGTCTGTACCAGATTGATTATAGTGTAATTTTCTGTTATCAATATCTGTAGACTGTACTGTCTACTGTGCACATATATGATATAATACACAGTATACACATTTTGTTTTCTTTTTTTGGTTATTTGATATTTTTGGTTTTTTCGTTATGGAAAAAAAAAGTTTGGCGGTATGGTAGAAAAACAAGAATTGCTGTCAAAGCAAAGGAAAAAAAAAATGCAATATTCATCACATTCATAAAATTTTGGTAAGTTTCTATTTTTTTCCGTATTATGCATGATAATTTAATGTATAAATATTACCTATTATTTCATTAATAAGATATATTTTTATATATTTTATTAATAATATACCTAGTTATTTTTAAATTATTAAGATTAATAAATTCCACTTTTTTATTATTATAGAATAATGATACTATTGTCGCGGACGATACTGTCGATATTCTGCCTTCGAGGCAAAATATATCATCTCTGATAGAAGATCAAACAGAGTTATTAGAAACATTAACAATTAGTGATATAAATTATACTCAAAATAATGAGTAAGTTCTAAACATAATTATAATTAATTTTATTATGAAGTGTGTTTCGTATTTTGAATGAAACGAGAAAAGTATTAGTTCTATCATAACTTTTTTTTTCATTTGTACCGCATAACTTACGGGTGTTGATTTTCGAAAAAATTGTTTTTTTTTTTTTTTTTTTTATTGTAATTCAAAAGTAATAATTGTAGAGAATCGACATTTCTATCAAATATTTATTTGGCCATTTTCTAGACATGGTGTAAATTTCAAATGGTTTTTTTTGTGCTATTGATAGAAATTTGGAATTTAGGAATTTTCTTAGTTATTTTTTGTAAGATATCAATAAAAAAATATTGATTTGTCGAAAAATTTTGAAAATGAAAAAAGAAATATCGTCATGACTCATAAGTGTAATGTAAAAATATATAACATTCAACAGCCCATAGTACCTATCATTTTTTTTAATTATAGGTATTGTATTAGTGGTAGAAGAATAGTTGATATTGCATATTTTTTTATATCAATTCAACATATAAAGCATAAAGGTTTCGAATGTTCATTCTCAGAGAACATGTTGTTAGTCAATGATAAAAGAAATGGGTTTTCTAGCAATTTTATCTTTAAATGTTCAGTATGTGGAGTTCTTGAAAATCTATACTCTGAAGATCCCGATAGACAAGGCCTTGATATAAATATGTCAATTACTTCAGCTACCATTAATACTGGCCAGGGATATTCGCAATTAGAAGAATTTACAGCCATATTAGATATGCCTTGTTATGCTAATAACTCTTATCAAAAATACCACGAAAAATTGCATGTTCATTTATTTGATGTTACGTTGGATGAAATGAAACTTGCTGGAATTGAGGAGGCAAAACTCGCTGTTCAAAATGGGGACGTAGATGACCAAGGTCGACTTGGTAACTGTTGTTGCTGATGGCGCCTGGTCCAAAAGATACTATAAATCCAATTACAATGCTTCGTCTGGTGTAGCATCAATTGTTGGGTATAGAACAAAAAAATGTTTATTTATGAGTGTCCGCAATAAGTACTGTGCCATATGTGATAAAGCCTTAAAAACAAACCATATAGTTCGTGAACACAAGTGCTATAAAAATTGGACTTCAACTTCTACTTCTATGGAATCTGATATTATAGTTGAGGGCTTCAAAGAAAGTATAGCAATGCATAATATTATATATAATAAACTAATCGGTGATGGTGATAGCAGTGTTTAGTAAAAAATTACTACTCGCTAAATCTTATGGTCCTGATGTATTAATTCAAAAAATTGAATGCAAAAACCATGTTTTGCGTAAATATATAAATCGTATGCGTGATATTGCGGGAAAAAGAAAATGTAGTAGTGGAAAAATTGTACCCGGAGATCAGAGAAATACTTTGAGAAATAATTTACAAAAACTTCGTTGTGCAATTACTCAGGTAATTGAATATAGAAAGAATAGTGATGGAACACATAATGAAAAAATGAATTTATTAAAACATGATATTATGAATGGCCCATATCATGTTTTTGGAAATCATGAAAATTGTGCAACATACTTTTGTAAAAAAAGAAGGAAAAAAATAGTAAAAATTATGTTTTAGAAATGAAAAAATCTGGGCTTTGGACAGATATTTTATATGCGAGAAATTTATTAGCTCATCATGCCTCAAGTTTAATATATAATGTCAACAATAATTCGGTCGAAGGTTACAATAGTATTGTTGCTAAATTTGTAGGTGACGAAAGAATACATTTTTCTCATAAAGGGTCATATCAAGCGCAATGTACAGCTGCAGTGTTATCTTATAATACAGGACCAAAATGTATTAGCATTTTGCATAAAAAGATTTGCAATATTAGTCCTGGTGATTTTACGAAGCGTTTTATAAGTGCAAAACAGAAGAAAAAAATATGTAAAATGAAAAGAAAACTTTTATTTGAATCAAGAAGTAGACGAGTTACTAAATATAACTTACCAGATGATGACTATGGAAAATGCGAAGAAAATATGTGTGAAGAACTAGATATGGATGGAAATGATTACGAAAAAAAGAAATTGAAATATATGAACAATAAAATAATTAAAAATATCGATGAAATTAAATTTATAGAAAAATCGACTACACTTCAATCGGAATGCGAATTATGGCACAAAGAAAGAAAAATTAGATTAACCGCATCGAATTTTGGAAAAATTTGTAAACTTCGACCATCGACTTCTAGAGCCAATACAGTTATATCAATATTGTATAAAACCTTTTGTGGTAATGAGCATACGAGATATGGTATTGAGTGCGAACCTTTTGCAAAGGCAAAGTTTGAACAATCAACAGGATTTAAAATTCAAGAATCTGGACTTTTCATATGTGAGCATCTACCGTTTTTAGCAGCAAGTCCTGATGAACTTATAGATAATAATGGTATAATTGAAATAAAATGTCCCTCAACAATAAAAGAATTAACTCCAAAAGAAGCTATAGAATCTAGAAAATTAAAATTTGCAACTCTAGACAGCCAAGGAAATTTGCAATTAAAACAAAGTCACAACTACTATTTTCAAGTCATGGGCCAATTAAAAATAACTCAACGATTATTTTGTTATTTTATAATATGGTCACCTAAAGATAATACACAATATTTAAATGTATTGTTAAATTTTTCTTTATATTTTGTTTACATCTTTTACAGGTATACTTTATCAAAAAATTTTTAAAGATGAAACATTTTTCAACACAAAAATGAAACCATCATTGGAAAAATTTTATTTTGAAGCGATGTTGCCAGAGTTAATTGACTCAAGAATGGACATAAACCTTAGTTTACGGGATTAATGGTATGGTAATAGGCAACTAGTATCTACTATCTAATATTAATATAATATGTAACTGAAGTATAAATTGTATAAATTATATAATTATATTATTATTTATTAATATATATATATACTTGGATTTAAATATAATTTTAAAAATGTCAACGCAGTGTTCATATTTGGATTGCAATCATTTTCAACCAATATCTTTCATTATAGTTTTAAACATCCTCGTAACATAATATAATGAAACGTATTTCATTTTAACACATTTTCGTACAACGAATAATTGATTATAATATGGTAATATACGTCAAAATTTTGCATATGACGTACATTATATTATTATAAATTATAATCATTGATTACAGAATACACTTTTATAAAAATTACAAGCTAAAAATCGAGAATAAATTTTAGAAATAATTTATGGTTGGATCAATGTTATTATTACTATAATGCTTATAGTTTATTCAATTATAGGTATTATATAATATATATATATTATGCAGTTCATATTATTTGTGACTACGATATTTGGTACGACGTGTCGACGTCGGGACGGTTTCTACTGAATCAATAAAATTAATGGATGATAACGCTGATCAAGATTTCAGATTAGTCTCACACACATTAATGTGCATTTACTTTCCACACACTAACAAGCCAACATACACCGTCATGTTAAATTGCCTATGCTATTTTCCTTAAAATATGATCGACTGGAGCCCCCCTTAAGTTGTAAACGGTTTAACCGTCGTGACTATATAACCAAGAACGTAAAAACCACCTCGGCAAAATCGAAAAACCGCTATGTAGCAGAACCCTAACACTAGTTGAAACTATAGTCTATTAACCTTAAGAGCACACCGGTTTGCGCATGTACAACTAATCGCTGCCCGCTGCCCAATCCCCCAAAATTAATTGATCGAAAATAACCGTTTCCGGTCGATTCTTATCGCCACGCGCCGTTATAAATCGTACATTATAAAAATTGGGATTATATACCGTATACCCACGTATACTCTCCAATACACCACTATTAGTTAATTAAATTAACCAATATAAACCTATATAATTATGTAATATAGTGTAATTAACAATATAAAATAATTAACATAAAGGTTTGTATAGTAAATAATAATATATTGAGTAGTGGGAAAAATTAACTACGAATACATTATAATTATTTGGTCGAAAAAATAACAGTAGTGCCAGTTGACATTAACTTTTACTTTAACTTCTGTATGTTTTTAGTTATTTGTTTATTACATAAATGATAAATTATGTATTTATATACATAATTGGTAATAATAATCAGGGATTATTCTAAGAATTTTTATCAACTACGCATTTTGTTTAAATAAGCCTATCAAAATAGAACTATGATCTCAAAATATATTGTCAAATTAAAGTTAAAAATGATAAAATGTGTAGCTTCTATGTGAAGTAATTTAAAATGTAATGTATTTAAAAGATATAAAACAATTTACATTCGTGTTCAAAGTATTTTTTTTAATATTTTTTAATAAATTTCCTTTTTACTTTGTTTATAAATCATAATGTAATGTATAAAATAACACTAAACAACATTGAATTAAAAATCAATTACGCAAAAGTTTATTATTAAGTGCGCATCAACCTTTTCCAAATACGCAAAATAAGCCAAACTGCGCTTTAGAATAAGCCCTGATAATAATATTTCGTGGATAAGTTCTCTTCTCAGCGAGTAGTCCGGCGGCGAAACGGTCGCGGCGAAATATCCGGGTCCGAAATAAAACTGTGTAAAACCTGTGATTATTTTTACATATTTTTGATTATTGCTGAATATTTAATACATATCTTGTAATAACCAGTGGGAGCATATTATTTTTGAAAAATCGTTCTTTCGGGATAAATTTATAAGCAAAAACATGTTTAGTGTATACCTAAATCAGTCGAACAATGTAACGGATGTATGTTTCCGCAAGACGAACGCATGTGTAGGTACCAGATATTGCATAAATATTTTGTACAACAAGTATAGTATATATATATATTCTGTGTGTGTATATGTTATTCCTTGTATACATATATATTATATATACATATTACATGGGTAAAATAATTAACGTTTCTTCGAACCACCACTATATTTACCCAAGTGACATGATGAATAATAATTCAGTTACGCGCAGAAGAAAGATTTCGACGCGAAACACCTCCCGAGGGAAATTTTTGACAAATTACCCAACAAAATATGTTATATAAGGGTGGTCAACACTCGACACACGCGCTCCCATGTCCGTCTACACCAGCGATTCGAGAATACCCCCGCTGTGAGTTCTCGATAAATAGAACAACATTTATTTTTATATTTATTGGTCATTTATTACGATTTTTGTGTATATTATGTTTATTAGGGCTGTACCGCGCGCGTCGTCTGGCCCTTCAAACGTTTCATCGATGTGCAAACGTCGGTTATATGCCCAATAACGATCCCTAAACGAGCGTGCACATATGAACGTAGTAAATAATATATGATACGCTGAAATATCAGTCACGTGTACCTACACATATGCGAGAATAATAAAAGTGCGAAAATTATATCGTTACAAAAAGGAACTAACCAATATAATTTACAGTGATATTTTGACGCGGATTTATAGTTTCCTATACAAAACACGTCTCAGATTCTTGGACGACAGAATCTGACCAGTAAAAAAGATACACAACTAATTTATACACACACGCATACACAAATAAATATATATGTATAATATACATTGTATATTACATACAGAGCCGTAGCAAGCGAACACGGACAAATCGTCGTCGCCGTTTCGCCGTAAAGCTATTTCGCCGTCGCTATTTCGACGTAGGGACATTTCGCCGTTAAAAAAGAATAATAAATTATACTGAAATTATAATTTTATTTATTTTAATAAAAAATTATTTATTAGTATATTTTGTTGATCACCGTAAAAATATAAAATATATATTTAAATATAAATTAGTCGATTTATTCAGTTAGATTTTATATAAATAGTAGGTGTATAATATTATATAGAATCAATGTGCCCACTGCCCATGTATTATATTTATATAGTAAATAATGATTTCAGTATGATATCAATCATAAATTTTATCGCAATTGACGATAAACGCAGAAGCATAGTATAGATAAAACGTATCATCGAATAATAACGGTATTTCTTGGCCTAAGATTTGCTGTATACTCTATTTTTTGTATTCATTCGTTACTCGTTAGTACTAAAATGACAAGTGTAACAACAATTCGTAAGCGCGATGTTTTCGTCGATGACGGGTTTATGTATGTATTCGACTTTTTAAGTAGAGACGGTAAGAAACGTTTTTGGCGGTGCAGAAATAGAAATATATGTAAAGCCAGAATACATACTAATGTAAAAGATTTAACTGTGATAAAAAAAATCAATGATCACTCGCATGATTTGGATGCCGCTAAAATTGAAGCAGAAGTTGCTGTAACAAATATTAAAATTCGGTCGGCGCAAACTTTAGAATCGACATCAATAGTACTCAACGAAGGTACGTCCGGTCTTTCACAAGCAGCCAAAGTAAGTGATTAAATATTATTGAAATAAGCACATAGGTAGTTATTTCATAGAAATAAAATTTATTTTTTTAGGGTACAATACCATCAATCTGTGCATTAAAGAAAAAATTTCGACGAATACGCCAACAAATTGTAACAGCCCCACCTGCATCTACTGATTTAATTTCACTAATAATCCCAAAAACGTATTCTATGTTTTCATCTTCTCAAGGTGTTACTGAAAAATTTTTACTCGACGATAGTGGACCTGGGCCAGATCGAATTTTAATATTTGGTAGATCAAGTAGTTTAAATATTTTAGAACGATCAAAAGTATGGTTTTGTGACGGAACATTTAAGATTGCGCCCCCTCTTTTTGCACAAGTATACGTTATATTGGCGAAAGATATTGGAGGTGTACATCCACTTATTTATGCACTCTTACCAAATAAACAGGCAAAAACGTATCATCGACTTTTTAATAGATTAAAACAATTAAAACCCAATTTGTGTCCCGATTTTATATCATGTGATTTTGAAAAGGCAGCTATATCATCGTTAAAAGATATTTTTATTAATGCTCAAATCAATGGATGTCTGTATCACTTAACGAAAAATATCCGATTGAAGTTATGCAGTTTAGGTTTAATGACAAATTACAATAATAATGCTGATTTTGCTCTTTCTGTTAAAATGATAACAGCAATAGCTTTTGTAAAAATTGACGATATTGATAAAGTAGTAGATGAACTAGCTGAATACTTACCAGATGAGTTACAAGATCTTTTAGATTGGTTTGAAGATAACTATATTGGCCGTAAAAATAGATCGAAAAGTGGAAGTAGACCAGCACTATCTCCTCCGATTTTGTGGAATGTACATGATCGAGTAATCAATGATCAGGATCGTACTAATAATTATGCCGAAGCCGCCAACCGAAGGTAAAAAAATCTAAATAAAATATAAACGCATATTTATTAATAATTTTTTAGATTAAATACTGAAATGGGTGTTAGCCATCCAACACTGTGGTCGTTTATTTTAAGTCTTCATAAAATCCAATCTGGTCGTGATACATATTATTCTCAGTTGGAAGCGGGGAAAAGTCCACCAAAAAAATTGAAAAAATATTTAGACGTCGATAAAAGGTTAAAAAAAATTGTAAGTAATTATAATTCATATAATTACATTTCATTTTTGAGAGGTATCGCAATAAATTTGTCATTGAAATAAATTATAATAAATAATAAAAACATTTTGACTAAATAATATTATATTTAAATGATTATAATTTATATTACACGTCTTCTACATCTTATTACATCTTAGGGCAAGAAATACCGTTATTATTATTCGATGATACGTTTTATCTATACTATGCATCTGCGTTTATCGTCAATTGCGATAAAAATGTATGATTGATATCATACTGAAATCATTATTTACTATATAAATATAATACATGGGCAGTGGGCACATTGATGCTATATAATATTATACACCTACTATTTATATAAAATCTAACTGAATAAATCGACTAATTTATATTTAAATATATATTTTATATTTTTACGGTAGATCAACAAAATATACTAATAAATAATTATATTATAATTAATAATAATATTTTGATAATTACCCAAAAAATAATCTGTTTAATCTACATGACGATATATTTTCAATATTATTTATTATTTTTTTTTTAACGGCGAAATGTCCCTATGTCGAAATAGCGACGGCGAAATAGTTATACGGCGAAATGGCGACAGCAAAACGGCGACGGCGAAACGGCGACGGCGATTTGTCCTAGATCGCGTAGCAAGGGCTTGGCGAGACTGGCCCATGCCAGAGGCGCAACAAAAAAAAGGGCGCAAATGACAGAATTTAAATATTTATATACCTATGTCTTTATTAATAATATAGGTATGAACATAATAAATTTTATTATAATATACACAAAATTGTTTTCGATTTATAGTTATATTTAGAAAATCATATGATGTCATAATAATGTACCGAGAGATAATTTGATATTCTAAGAAATGTTGAACATTGGTGGCCTATAATATGTTTATATGTAATGTATATTTATTAAATGCATACTGCATATTATAGATAAAAACAGTATTCCAAAGTTCTTATCAAAAATTTTCCACCAATATATACATATTATTTAATAATTAAGTAATAATATCACAAACACAGAACAATAATAATATAGATACTCGTATTTCAATATATTTTAATAATTTTATACGAGTTCGTGAAGCTTGCATATTGCATGAAGATCCTCAAAAACTTATACGGTATGTAGTTGACTATTATAATTATATTAAATTTAATAAATTATAGTTCATATATTAATATAAGTTTTAGAGCTGTAGAGTTCTAAATTTTATTACAAAATAATTATTTATATGCAGTGGCGACTCGTGTTAAGGCGCGCGTGCGATGGTGCGATAGCACTCCCTACGTAATTTTAAAATAAAATGAAACTTGCAATTATACCTGTTATAATTATTAATTTATATTTTGTCAAATTAATTTAAATAATTAATTCAAATTCTATCGGAAAATTATACTTGGAGAAAAATATCATCGTAATCCAGAAATTTCAATGCAATAAGAATAATCTAAAAATGTAATACAGATCGAGCGAACAACTCCTACGTTTCATAGTTTCGTTGGTCAATTCTCATTATGTGATTCGGTCTGTTGAAGAGTAGGGAGTACTTTATTATCCATATATTGGTATTTAATCATATTTCATAATAATAATAACAATAATTAAAACCACTTATACGATATTTTTCAATTGATGAAACATATTTTCCTACATCAAGAAATTCATTATTATAGTTTATTATATTTATAGTTATTATATTCTTATTTCGATACTTAAAAAAACTCTTCATTTTTTCTGATACACAAATTACCTATCAGTCCATTATTACCTGACATTGACTTAAACTTAAGTTATAATATCATATGTATTTTTACTTTTCAATTCCTTTTATAAGATATAAAAATATTTCCTATACTAGAAACTATCCTAAATAATGAAACATTTTTCAATCACTATCGCCTTTACTTCCAACTCTTACAGTATGATATTTACTATTATTTGATCAAATTTATCAATTTCTCCCGTATGACCGTATATAAGTCACGAGCATAAGCATAACTAGGGAGGCATGGAGGGGGTGAAGCCCACCTAGAATTCCTTGGAGCCCCTCCAAAATTTTTTGGGCAAATTAACCTACAAATCGCTATAGTGTATAATATAATTAATTTTAAGTCTCCGGCAATGGAAAAATTATTATTTTTCATAATATAAATAATAGATACGACTTCACTTATGTTAAAAGAGTTAGTATCGTCTATAATAAATATCAGAAATAATGTATTTGAGTTTTCAATAAACAAAGCAAAAGAAAAAGCTAAATTTTTAAATATTCCTTCACAATTTGAAGAAAAACATTAAAAAATTGTCAAAAGATATTTTGACGATTTACTGAATGACGAACGAAAATTAAAAGCAGAACAAGAACTAAAAAGAGAATGCTATTTATCTTTCGACTTGATTGTTTTTAATTTTAGCTATAGATACGAACAGATAGAAAAAGTTATATCAAGTTTTGGATTTTCAAATGGAAACAAATTATTTAATACAAAATCAGAAGAGATATATATATATATATATATGTAAGTGGTCAAAATATTTAGCTATGAAGTACTTAGAAGACCTCAATGGATTTGCTTTGTACTCAGAGCTAGAGTGTTTTAAAAATTAAGCTCAGAATTTAAAGGATAATTTTAAAACAGCTACTCCCTTAGAACTACTAAAATATATTCATAAATATTCTTTAAAAGATGTTTATCCTAATACTGAAATTGCATTAAGAATATTTTTGACTATATTGGTGACGACTGCCACTTGCAAAAGAAGTTTTAGTAAATTGAAAATAATTAAGAACTATCTAAGGTCGACAATGTCACAAGAAAAATTAACAAATAAAGAAACAATATCTATAGAACGTGAATTGGCTTCACAAATTAACTTTGAAGATGTAATTGATTAATTTGCAACAGAAAAAAACTCGAAAACTAAAATTTTGAAAATGTCTAAGCACTATTTTTTTTTATACTATTATATAAGGTTATAATAAGTTCAGTAATTCCTTTTTCTTATCCTTATTAAATATTATAGTTATAATTATTCATTATTAGTTATAACTAATAAATAAAATTAATTAATCTACGTATACATTTTTTATTTGATTGTAGTATAGGGGGGGGGGGGGAATTTCAAGGGCGGAAATATGTCAAATAGCCAGGAGCGCTGATGAACTTTGCTACGGCTCTGATTACATACATATAGTATAGAGTATGTGCACTATGTGCAGTGTGCTACTCACGTTGTATGTATTATAACCATCGGAGCCATTCTAAGGACTTTTAGGGACTGAAGAAATTAATTTGAGGGTCTCAAAATCATTACAATAATATCACAATATACAATGATAAGAAAGTAAACATAAAGTTTACAACACGTTGGTAAATATAGTTTTCCAAATATCAACCAATCAAGCTCATTTAAATGCATCGATATACTGAATTAAATTTTTAATAATTTATCAATAATGAATACATTGTTACCACATTTAATTAAAATTTAATATTTCATAAAGAAAAATAGTTTACAAATAATATATTAATATTAATAATCTCAAATGGGTTTTTATTTTTAAACAATCTGGACATTAAGGGGGCCTTATTTTAATTTTCCTTGACTGGGTCCTTAGGCAAAATGGTCCCGTTGCCCCCCCCTTCCAGTTGCATAAGCATATTTTAGGGGAGGTAAGAAGGGGCGATCGCCCCCTAAATCTGTATTTAAAGAATCGATTATATGTTAGATACACATTTCAAATTTTTAATGTGGATCATTTTATAACGAAATTAAATTACGCGTGGCTGTGAATACTGAATTATGCTTTTTGTCGGGTTCATATTTAGTGAAAAATCAAATAAAACACAAGCATAACTTTCAAAACACAGGTGTTTGAAAAAGAACTACACAAAAGTCGATTCTAAGTTGATCTGGTACTAGATAAAAAAAAAAAAACACAAATATTAAGGATTCACCTGATTTAAATATTACCAAAAATTTTACTTGTAAATTTTGAGACTGAATTAAAGAAAAAATTTGATTCGTCCTCCCCTCTAAAAGTAAGTCTATATACGCCCCTTTCCTGGTGGCGGCTCTGATAGCCACAGGCGTGTACAGATCTATACCTCAGGGTGTGCCTATAATACTTTTGGGCCCTATCTTAACAAAACGTATAGGTATATTGATAAATTATAATTTATAAATGATTAAATAAAAATAACTTTAATTTTTAATTTAATATTGTTGTAATTTTTAATTAGAGTAATATTTTAATAAAACATTGATTTGCATTCTTTTTTTGCTGTGAGATTGAAAAAAATTACTTAAAATATTCTTTATTTTTATTGACTTGATGTTGATTGTTCATAATTTTCTTCATTACATCCTTTGACATTATATTTTTTTGATGAACTGATTGCATTTTATAGTTTTGGTTGTGTTAACAAAAATCATAAAAATCATTATAGGAATATTTTTTAAAATTATTTTTTAGAATTATTGTTGCTTTGACAGTTGGTACGAGAAAACGATTTTTTTTCTTCCGTTTATAAAATATTTGTGATTGAAAATATTCTTTTTAATATTGCATTATTTAATTTACAAAGGTTCAGTGAACGTATATTTATTTTTATTCATTAAAAAAAAAACACTATAAGTAATAATACTAACGACTTGCAACAATTTAAATAAAAATAACTGATACACAGTGGCTATAACATTAATAACACAAGATCTTTGCAATGTACACACGTTACTGCACGACTTTGTTCGATTTTTCGATTAATATACCTATTATACCAAATATCGTTATGTATAAATAGTACTGTATATTGGTAAACTATTCGTATTTAATATCGGTTTCGTTAGAAGTCTTGCACATAAGTTCGTAGCACATGAATATATATATACTATATGACATGTCTTATTTTTTTTTTTTTACTCTTAGTTTACAATTTTTATGGAAGTAACGGGATTAAAAGCGTCCCGTTCTTAGTTTGTCGGGACAACGGGCCATAATGATAAAAAAGGAACAATCCCGTTTTAAACGGGAGATATGGTTACC